CAGTTCGATCTGCAGGGCTTCTCCTGCTCTTCTTCTGCATGTACCACAGAGTGGGAGTGGTCGAAGAAGTGCGCCGCCAGGGTGGACGCTTACAAGCACTTGATTTATGGCTCATCCTCATGTCCTAATGGAAGTAGAAAATGCAATAGCATCTACTAATGAAATTATCATGCCTAAAAGGATCCGTGGACATATGTGGAATGACACAAACCGAGACCGGTTATCTAATTTCACAGCAACAAAGGACACAAATAAAAAGAAACGCAGGATTGGGTTTGTTATTTGTCTTTTATAAAAAGTAGGATATCACTTATGTTGACCTTTGATAGAGAAATAGTTATTTTACGTAAATAAATAGTTTATAGACTAGACAACTTTAGCGTCCATAAAACCCCGGCGTGGCGCCACTGGGGTTCACGGCGGTGAAACCTTTCAGCTGAATAGCGTTAGCGGTTATCCCGGCACGTAAATCTGAAGGCCCTGCAGCCATAGAAGGACTCAGTGGTTGGACGGCGCATGTTAATCCCCAACCTTTCACAGGACTCCCATCAAAGCGGACGTCGGGCCACGGGTATTAAACGTGAAGCCACACAGATTTGGTGTGCAAGCAGGTACATAATCCTTTGTATGTGTTATCTGCATTCCGTGTATTCCTCCCATCGCTGTCTGCTCTGATCGGCAAGCGGAGGCTTTCGGAACCTCCCCCCTCCCCTCTCCCCCCCCCAGGAGCCAGAAGCGAAGCGGGACACAATTTGAAGCCGTCATGCCCTCGTAATAGCAACCAGGCTGTTTGGCTCATTGGAATGGGGTGGGGGGGGGCAATTGCTTGCTCTGTTTCACGGTGCAGGGTCAGAAGGTCAGGCCTGTCATTATAAGCGCACAACGTTCTACAAGACTCTTTGCTAAATTAATGTGAATGTAGCAGCGGCGCCACGGCAATTACAAGTGATGAGAGCTACACGAGCCATCTGCTGAACAAGCGAGAGCATCTACCTGTTGAGAGTTTCTGTTGCTTACAGCAGCATTTGCAAGGCAAATTGCTACGGAGAAAGCAGGTGCTGCGCATCGCATTGAGACAACGCTACAACTATTGCCCACGTCTTCAGCACTCTTGCATTTTGTGTTTGGGAAACAATTTGTCTGTGTCACACGCGGCGTCTAATGAAGCACTTTAAGATCGATGAGTCGATGCGTTCTTGTTTACCCGCGCGGAGAAGGGACGCGCTCCGGGCCGGTCCGTCCCAACTCTTCCTCCACCAACAACTGCAAACGGGGCTTTGTTGTGGCAGCAGGTTTTATTGGTATCCTCGGGCACCTGCAACTGTATTATGGTCATACGGAGAGTAGAATAGTAAACACAAGTGCTCCCCCAGGCCTAATGTGCCGCCCCTGTTTTTCCTGAATTTCCTGTTTATGGGGGCATGAGGGCAAGGACAGGGCGGGGCCGCTGTTACTGGAAAGGGAGCACTTACTGTGGAGACAGAGTTGAAAGTACTTGAACAAAAAGCTTATTGCAGTAGGACTAGATAGTGGGAGCTGCTAGCTGTGGTAATCGTAATACAAGGGAATGATCTAATGCTACAGAATGTTCCACCGGTGTAAGGATGCTTTTAGTCTGATGGTGCTGAGGACGTTTCAACACGTCTGTCTTTTTGCATATTAAATATGAGCGTGAGGGTTTGGCTGCAACAAACTTTCATTTGCATGGAAATACCCATCACATGTTGCCAGAGCTTAGAGTGGCAGGTGCAAATCTGGCTAACAGTCCAAAACCCAAAATCTATTTAGTTAGCAATGATATAAAACAGAGAAAAGTACCAACAGTGTTTGACAGTTCTACCTTTTAAAAAGGACTAAATTGAACAATCAAGAGCTGAAAACGATTAGCAATTGGTAATTACTCAAACACCAACTCTTCTGTACTTCAACTATCGTCTCTCTTTTATTTCACAGTAACATTTATGTATTTTAGACATCTCTTTCAAGGACCAGAAAATGATTCTACTTTATAATCAGTGTACCATCTTCTAGACCATTTAGATGGGTTGAAATGAGCTAGGACTGTAACAATTAATCAATAGGTATATCGTCAAAATATTCTTTAAATGTCTTGCTTTGTCTAAAACAGAATTAAAAAGACAACAAACTAAAAACAAAAGCAAGAAATCTTAACCCTTTCAAATTTTGAATCAGCATTGTGTTTTGCTTGACAAATGACACAAACATATCAGCAATTTCTGTTTTGTTGATGAATCAATTTTATAATTGGTACATTTTTGCAGCACCAGCCTGCCTCTTCTCCGCTGGCTTTTTCCGTATGACGTTATTGCCGAGGTCCCTTCAGGCCATGAATAAAACTGATTACAAACGATGTCCATCTGTAATCTCTTGCAATAATTGCTCGTCCTGGAAGTCGGTCCTGCTCGCGTAGCCTCAGTCGCTTTAGGTAAGCGAGGCCCGCAGGTCCGCGTCGACGCATTCTACCGAAACCTGCCGCGTGATTCCGATTCCTCCTGAAGAGACCCGCCGAAAAGACGGCGCCTTTGATGTCGAGCGGGTTGTTTTGAATGTGTCAGGAATATTTAAAAGCTGCCTATTAACGCGCCTGGCTGCCAAAAAAAGGCAAGGGTTGTAACAACTTGGGGATTCACGTCTTGACTTCAGTTTATGAGAATCAGTTCAAAGTCGTCAGTAATTCAAAAAGCACCGCCACGCTTTTAGGGGCTCCATCTGGAGCATCACACCATCTGCTGCACCTCTTTAACCCATACATTTATTTTATTAGTGCGTAAACATGTATTTCATTATTGGTGTGACTGCATTTCTAAGCCTTAATTGGGTTGATTATACTTCCCAGTGATTGCTGGAGGACAGGAGACTTTGTGGTTGTGATTACAATTACTGAAAGTTGGAAAACCGCACGTGCTCCCATCACGTGTGCTCCGTAGCCTCAAAGCCGGTTCAAACACTCAGAAACCATCGACCTTGTGATCATCTACTGGCTGTAAGGCCAAACTTCATACAATTAAAATGTTGTAAGTCTAGTTGGATACGTCTGAGTTCCACACCGCCATGTCCAAACTGCAGGTAATGGAAGATGTTATTTTCTTGTAAATACGTGTAAAGTATCAAGGCTGCCGAAACATTGTTTAAAAAGTTTATTTTGGAAGCAAACTTTTAGGTCCTTAAGTAAATCTTTAAGTAACCGCAAAATATACTTTTGATTCAAAGCCTCTGTGAGTTTTTTGAGTTTGGATGGAGCTCATCATTAGGCATGAGCAGGACAGATTTAATAACGCTTGTGGGATCCTCTAGAATAATAAAGTTCGAAGCCTCTTTGGCATATGAGAAAGTCATCGCGTTTAGATGACTCGGCAATTAAGAATGAATGACTGTTTTTGAACCGCTCGTCTTTATTGACTGGATTGAAAGTTAATAAGCCCCAGCTTTGATAACTCACACAAAAGCAGCAATATAACTCATAAGAAAATGAGATAGATGCCTTTTATTTGCGCCTTTAGGCATTCAAGTGAAAACAGTATTGAATGTCAGTTCCCTTTCATAAAAGAAAGTCGGATAATTAAATGCAACACAATTTGTTTGTATTAACACAGACACCGCGTACACGTGATTCTGCTGTCTCCCTGCAGCAAATGTTCTTGCCTGAGAAACGCAGTCCTCGTGGCACAGTGGAGACGCGGGGATCCATTAGCTTCCCCAATAGTCTAAGGGACTGACGGGGAACTTGAAAATCAATCTCGTTTTTTCATAGCCTCGAGCCTTCGGTGAGTTGATGTACGCTTTTCCTGAAGGGGGGGAAATGAAGTAATTGCCCCAAATATAAGGCGGTGGGTTGCATTAGGACGGGTTAATGGATAAGTAGTAAGCGGTGTGGCTCTGCCTAGTTAATGGACTAATATCGCCTTTAATGGCACGCCACTAATGGGAGTTGTTGGCGGACGCTTACAGTCGGGACTCCTCTGATCTGCCCCAAGTCTACCCGCAGACACCTCACAAGCACTCCTACCCTCCGGTCCCCCGGCCCGCACCCTTCAAATACATAATTCATGGTATAATGGACGTGATTTCTGAGTGCACTTAGCACCCGATCACTCCGGCAGCCGGCTGCTGTCTTAAGAGCAGCGCTCGCACTTGTGCAGCTCATATGCTTACGCAATTTATGGCATTTTTTAAAGAGGATTTTATGCAGGCTTGTGTGGTCGAGTGTAAGGAGGAGAACATTTCAAAGACTAATGATCGTGCCAGAAGATCAATTTCTAGGAAACCTTATGGCAAGTAATTTAGAGTGATAATCACCCTTCTTATAATGTGCTTTTATCTTTACCATCTGTCACGCTCCGAGCAAAATGTAACAACCGGCAAGAATGTGCAGAGGCACACACAAGGTATTAGATACTTATCTACAGATACACTATATATGAATGTGATACTCTCTCCTATTTGTATAGGCATACGTTCTTAAGCCTTATGGTAACATTAATTAAAGACTTATTATATCACATATATTAGATTTCACAGAACAATTTAGGCCAAATTAAAGCCCAATCGTCTTCTTTGATTCTGCTGTTTGCATCTTAAGAGTAAAATAGTTTGTAAAAGAAGTTGAATATCATTTATTAAATACTGTTGACAATAGTTCCCTTTTTTGAATATCTTATTAGACTCACTTGCTAATCTGAGGGAGAATGCAAAAGGTCCTTGAATATTTGGCAGATTCTTCCCTTTATTCAGCAAATCCTTACATTGTGTCTCTTAACCAGCTACGAGGCTTGAAGGCCATTCAATGTTAGTTGGTTAGTCTATAAAGTGCAGGAATTCAGTTGCACACATCTTTGCCGTGTTGTGGCACTTACTGGAGCATATCCCCAACGGGAGAGCTAGTAGGGCAGCGCCGTCTACCTGGCGGTCTAAGCTGCATTGTGTAGCTCGCCACTGTATTGTTTTACTCATTGAAAAACGAGTCAAACACAGACAACGTGTCACCAGGAGATGTTTTTTAACTGAAACCTCAAGGAAATGGAGAACTTTTACGATCTAATACATCAACAGGAAACATCCATTTTTGATACCAGTCCCACATTCTTTTCCCCATTAGCTAAACCAAAGCGGGACAATAAAGTGATAAATTACTCGGGGGTCCTTAATGGACCACAATGCAATCCTGTCACAAGACATCCTGTGTATTCATCTGCAGAACAGGACTCATTGCTCCCTCTGGGTTTATTATTCCACCTCTATTATAGTCTTCACCTACACACAAATAACCCGTACAAATAATCCACATGTTGTCTGGGGATTGTCAGCAGGGATTCCGGGAATTGCAGGAAATCGAAGCGGTGGAAGCAAACAAGTCATGATGTACTCTGCACTGAAGTCCCTCTCAGAAATTAACTCCTGCTATGCAATCCTGCAAAAAGAAAAGATGTAACAGTCAACAACAGCTCACCTGCCTCTGTCTGCACATTCGGATTCAAACATTGCTGAATTGGGATTGGTGCACAGAGGGTTAGGGGTTAGAGTTAAGCCTCACCCAGTGCACACCAGCAAACCAATCAAATCCAAAGTTCAATTAACCATGGCAGAAAGTGTTGTCATCATTTAAAACCCCACCAGACCAAGAAATATGTTTTGCGGCTGCATTCAACATCAAGGATTTATGGCATGAAAGATTTACCCGCAACAACATGGCGTTTCTTTAGAGAAGCAACCAACGGTTACACAAGTGACTCGAAGCACTTAGAGGCAAAAGAAATCTGTTCCTCTGCTTTGAGCCCTTCTCTCCTTCTTTGTCTCGATCCTCGACGAGAAGCGGGTGCTGCAACCCGACCCCTCGGCGGCAGGTCTGCACAGGTGCTGAGGGCCCGCCGCAAGACTAGCCTGAAACCAGAGGAAATGAAGCCAGCATTTCTTTTGTTTCGGGGGAACAATGGGAACCCGACAGGTGGGACTTCAAGCAATGCATTACGACTGTTCCCGCCTGCTGCCGTCCGTAGGTGTTTGTTGACCACACACGATGCAGCAAATGAACATTGTTGTCTTTCGCCTGAGGGGAAGAGAGCCATCAATGTGGCCTGCTAGACGAGCCGCACTGGAAACCACATTTTATGTCTCTGGAAAGCGTAAAGAATGCTAAGCTATTCATTGCTCCGGTGTATTGTAAGTCGAAAACGCTCACTGATGAGGGCTATTTCGGTAAACGTTTGTCCTCTGCGGCGCTTACATTTTGTATAAAGAAAGGAACACCTGAAAACACGTTACAGTTTTTGACTTATTTTCCCAAATAACATGAAAATAACATGAGTCGTAAGTTTTCAGAGCACATTGCCCTAACAATGTGTCAATCCTGCTGAGGGTGAAAGAGTGGATCCATTATGCTTGATATACTCAGACTAATAATTTGGTGTGTACTACATCATACTCCATTTGCTTTCCATTCTCCAAAACAGCAGACCGGCTTGCTTTGCCCTGAGGTGACAAACAAAGCTTCGCTCACAGTAAACAGTGAAATGTGAGTTGTTTTTTCTTTTCTCAGGTTGGCCTGTTTTTGACACAAAACAAGATAGTAGATTTATTGATTAATGCTAGAGATTTTCATGCAAATATTCCATAAATTCTCAATATTTCCTGCTCGTCATCTCGAAATATTTGGTCTCGGTCTGATGATTAGACGAAGCAAAACATTTAAAGACACCTCCCCAGATTCATTTTAATGGTCATTATCTAGACTAATTCCCCATTCCAACAGTTCTCATTGCATGGCTGCATCGTCTTATTAATGTTAGAAAATATCACACACTTGTTTCATGCCATAAAACCGATGAATACGTTACACGCAACAATGTTTCTTATGATACTTCTGGACAAGAATCTGCAGGAACTTGATCACAGATGGAAAACACAGACAAAAAAAGGAAAGGTTCATCTGGACTGCACATGGGGCCTGTGGGTAAAAAGGCAGAAAATGAAACTTCTGTGTCCATGAAGGGACCTTCTTTTCAGATCTATTCTCTCTGACCTTTACCCCCTTCTAGAGGTCAAAGCGGTGCAGAGAGACATCTCTAGGGTGTTGGACAGCTTTCGGTGCCCTGTAACAGATGGTGTAGCAAAAGACGAGGCTTGTAAAATGGCTCAAAATCTCAATGTCACAGACTCATTTCACACAATGAGGCATTTGTTTCTAAAACGACTTCCACAAACTAATGGTTTCTGTGTTCAGGCAGCTTCATCAACAACAACTGCCTTTTTAACAATTATTGAATTATTAAAGCAGTCATTTATCAAGCAGAAATAACAACTATTCATTGGTGGCTTTTCTCAAATGTGGAGCTCTAACCCTGATAGTAAACTGAATTCCTTTGGGTTTTGACGATTTGCGTAAAATAAGGAAAGTGAAAAGTTTCTGGTATTTTGTGCAAAACGGGTTATTAAGAAAATAAAGAGCAGATGTTTGTTGCATTGTTAAATCGGCAGCAATTTCAAGGACGACTGACTAAATCGGCGCATGTGCCTGTAGGATTCGATGTGGGAACAGAACAACCGGAGCCTTTAGGTCGTACCACGGCGTCAAGCCTGTCGATGGAGGAAAAGTAACGGGATCGTCAAAAGTCTTTCGGCATTCATCATGTAGGAAGCGGGACTTTGCAATTATGTGCCTATCCGACAGAAGTCGCAGAGGCCACTTTTCAAACAACCAATTTACTGAAATCCTGTCGTCACAAGAGCCGTGCTGCTGGAATGGCTTAAAACCCATAAAAGCGAGGCAGGTCTAATGTGTCGGGGAAACACTACCAAGTCCCTCCTCCTGCCGCAGCACACAGAACATACAGTACAAATCTGTTTTGCTTCCATCCTCATTACGTGCTTCCAAAATAAAGTCACCCAGCTGTGGGCGTTAGGGTATTTTGTTCAACCAGCAGCTCTCAACAGTGGACTAAAAAATACAAGCGGACACCTTTTTGTTTTAGGCCATAAAAACAGGCAATTACAGCAGTCAGAAAAGGCTAAATTATAGCGCACACATTGCTGACATTTGGAATGGTGCCTCCATGGTTCAGCTTGGACCATGAAGAGAAACTTTATGTGTGCGGTCAGTTATCCATCAGTGACATAATTTACAAGATCATTCCAGGCGACAGCAGTCCTTCTGTTTTCTTTACAGGAAACAATGAAATATTTTGGCCAAATAATTCACTGATCCCTCCTTGTTTTAGCACTGGTTAAATTATTTAAGCGAAAGAAGAAGAATAACGCGGAGGGTTACCTTTTCTTTGATTTCTCGGTCCTTAGGCAAGCACCTTCCACTATAAGAATCTCTCCTTTCCCCAAGTATTATTGATCTAGTAGAAGCGGTTCTGCCTGCTGCCGAACTGCTTGTGAAGCGAGGCTATTTGCCACCAAGTCCTTTGTGGACATGTGCCGTGGGATCTCTATTCACTGCACAATCCTCATTTTCAGCACTTAATACGTTTTCTTTCGGATGTTGTAGCTGAATGACGTGCACACACTCAAACACACACACACACACACACACAAGAGGGAGTCTGTGAGGTAGCAAAACAGGGATATAGAGACTAGTGTGGGATGGTAGCTGATTTCCCTGGCGAGCTTATATCTAAGCTGTCGTCACCTGTCTTCTCCGGGATAGAGGCACCTTAATCAGGAACATGAAAGTGTCTCCCGTGGTGCTGCCTCCTGTCTCTGCCACTCGCCTGCTACCTGATTCACCAGCATTTAAGTATTCGCTATCCTTCCTCTCCATAATCAGAACTCTGCCTTATAAAGTATAGAGGAATTCAAATCAAACATTGCTGTTCTGGGTTCAGAGGTCTTAAGGTTGAATAAATTGTTTGCACTTGAACAATTTCCTGTTTGGAGAAATACAGTCTTCATCGTAATAAACATACTCAACATTCCTAAGCTTGTTTTTTTCATTAGTTGCATGTCTCAGAACATTCCTTCAGTTTGGAGTCTCAGAACCCCCCCCACAACCCCTCCAAAAAGACTGTCTTAAAACAGTTTTTTCATGAGCTTTTTCTGTGATAGGCGTTAATTGTCTTTCACAGCAATATGCCAACCAAGTCTCAAAAAAGCATTGTTCTGTTATTGGAGTTTTCTAATTGTATGTTCATCGTCTCTCTACAAAACAATTAGAATGAATGGCAATGTACTTGTCTATGAAAAGTCAAATTAGGTTTTATATTATGCATCACAATGCTTTACATTATAAAATGTGCAAGTCCAGTTTTTGGCAAAGATTCTCACCACCTCAATGCTAAATCCAAAGGTTAGACTGTATCATTGCTCCCCCATCCGAATCAGATTTTATTTGTGTGCATAGTGTGCGTTGCGTGCGTGTGTTTGTCAATGTACAGACACACTGTTCACCTACTTTTGTGCTGAAGGATTAACTCATCTCAGTAAGCAGCAGCAGCAGCTTTGTCTTTTATAACTCAACATGTGCGATTTATTCACGTTTTGTTACAATGACTTCTGCGCAGATAAAGCCTTTTCCTTCACAGAATCAAAAAGTTTGCAGAGGCTGAACACAGCTTTATTTGAATATTCAAAACTGCCTATTTGAATTTGAAATGTAAGAAGTCTATTATACAGGAAGTGCGATAACCTTCACAACCCTGCAGGGCTTGCAATGTAACCCCTACTCTTGTGATTTAACAATTGTACGATTCAGCATGTGAAAGGTTCGAGGCTCAATGCTGCTAAAACACTCAGATGTCAACTACTTTCTAACAGTTTAGATGGTTCCTGGACAATCAGGATATTGCGGCACCGACATACCCAGCTGGGACACATCATGTATACTGACTTAATTATTTTTGGCACAGTAAAGTACCTCCAAATTGATGCAGCGGGATATTATTGGATTTGACAAATGTGTAAAACATGTGTCCTTGTCCTGCACAGATAGCTCATTAACTCAACCTCCTAATAGATTCACTATGTCTCCATTTTCCACGCTAGTGTGTGCAATCTTTTATGCCTCGACCAGAGTCCTGCATTTTGTAGCTGAAAGACATTCACGCATGAGAGTCAGTTTCATTAGGTTTACATTAGAAAGACAAAGCAGGGGAGTGGTGGACGCCTTCATTAGCATCTTATGTTTGCACCAGTAATCTGCATTAGTTCAGGTGGATGGGCCTGGTTTTACAACCTCGTTGCCAATATCTTGATGTCAAAAACACTGTGAAATACAGGCACAAATATGCAGACTATTAGCTGTCCGCAGGTAATTACATAGATTTCATCAAATGATTAAGATACGAACTGCCATTGCATTGTCATGAATATGGGAATGCAGAAAATGTGTTTTAAGTTTGGTAATTCCCGTATTGGGGTTAAATGCTTGACTTGATTCTAAAGAAGCTCGTAATTCTTTTGAATTCACTTACTAGTGCCAAAGGAACTGGTTGAATTTGTGGCAAATTACGAATAATAAGATGAATCAATGCAGGAGATTTAAGTGTCGGCAGCGCTCATTCCTGTGTTTGGTGAAGAATTCCTGGTAAAACTGTCAGCAGTTGGAATGTGGTGAGGTTTATTTTCATCCCTGGCCGTCACCATTAAATGTCGCTGAGCTTTATTTAAATGCAGGAATTGTATCCGTGTGGCTGACGCGCCGCAGGATCAGTGTTTAATAGGTTTTTTTCAATGTGTTGCTTTGATGTTTACAGAGTTTTAGAAACCTGTAATTATATCTTTATCTCATGCGTGTTTGAACCCGTTGCTGTCTTCCGAGTATGTTGTTTGCCTCTCTCTGTAATGGTCATTCATGATGTTTTGTGTCCATAGATTCAGCTCTAAAGGAATGTCATAGTTAATTGACAAACACTAAAAATAGTTATTCAGTTCACTCCTTTGGTTTGCTTGTATCTACTCTGCCTGTTGTTTTGTGCCATTCTACCTTTGAATCGGCCACAGGTGCGTTTTGTCCCTTTGCACAGAACCCGGCGAACGTTTTTTTCTGCTTTCCAGTCTTTAAGCTAAGCTAAGCTTAGTTTTTAAAATTGAACAGACACTCGAGTGGCATCAAAACTTCTCATCTGGGATATGTGGCCATTCCTTCTGCCCAGCCACAGGACACGGCAGTCGCATTACTGACAAAACTGGCAGGAAACAGCCGGTAGAGAAATTGCATTAGTGCTAACGGCAAAACGGGAAATTCTCTGTAGAAAATCACTTTATTAAATTGTCTGTTGTTTGTCATCTGCTTGTTGTACTGGCTTTCTTGACATGCTTTCCGGACTCTGTTTAGTCCAACGTCAGACTCTATGTTGTTTCAGGGCGGACGCCTCATGAAGATGAGTGACACGTGTGTGGGCCCGTGTCCGGAGGACGGCACCGTGTTTAGTTGAGGCTAACTGTCCGATATTGTTGTGTGTCTTAACCGACACAATGCATTGTAATAACAACAACACGTCTGATGGGTTTAACTTGTGGGAAAAAAAGCAAAAGTTGTTGGAAGCAGACTATTTTTTCCCAGTTATTACTCCGTAGTAAAAGTACTTACTTTAATTGAAACAGGCTTTGAATGAATATTAAGCGAGTAGCAAATTAATTTGTCGCCCCCCTCTTTGCACCACTCTAAGGAAACCTTTAAATGTCGGCGGAGCTCACAGGGAAACTTAGACCGGATGACATTGCAGTTTGACACAGTTTGCAACAGTTTTGTAGCGTGTGAATATCATCACACAATTTCAGGGTTGAATGGACACCTAGTTTTGCACTCCTCCTGTAGAATAAAGGATGGAATGTGTTTGCCCACTGCTTTGTTCTTTTACACTTTACTGAACAGCCGATGAGCTGTTTTGAATTTTAGCTGTCATATTTTCTTCCACATGGCGCCTACTCATGCAGACAACTCGGCCTCAACCCAGAGAGGTCTGAAATGTGGATCTAAATACCCCCCCAAAAAACGTGCAGCACCTCATTTTTAGTCAGGCCATGGCAGCCTCTCCTTCCCTAGAGCCCTCTGGCTCTAACCCCTCATCGCGGGCCCATTGAGACTCGACTGCTGCCATCCTCCCCCCATCCCCCTTTCTCAAGCACTTTGTCTCCATGGTGATGTTTTTAAAGAAATTTAGGGCAGGGGGGGAGGGCGGGGCTGCAAAATTTGCAGAACTCCATAGAAACTGTTGTTCTCGGTGCAAAGGCAAACACTAAGTGGCGTTGATGCATTTCATTCTAATACGTATAGAAAGAGGGGGACAACAGCATTCCGGATTTAAATTTTCCCTCGCAAAATGTCACGCTGCGTTAGAGAGACGACCAGATGTGCGCTTCGGGAAAAAAAGTCATTAAAAACTGTTTCCCTTCATTTCTCTTTTGCAGCCAGCAGTTTGGAGACGGTTATCGGCCTGTATGGAGAAACATTTGAGATCCCCTGCAACAATGGAGCCATAAAATCAGAGGACATCATAATGACTAAATGGAAATATGTAAGTCATAGTGACGGTCAATAAATTCAGAATGGTCGTCCCTGTCTGACACCCACTTATCATGTCTGAGCCACGCCCCGTCTGAGTGCCGGGTGCATTAGGCCGCGCATCTGTCCGCTCCACACGACACTGAATGAACAGAGCGGAGCAGAAGACGGCGTGCTGGAAGACGGGAAGTCAATGCCGTATGTTTAACAACTGTCTCTGCTCTGCCCTCCAGGACAAAGGAGAGGGGACTCCGGGAGACCTGCTGGTCAAGCAGAAGAATCAGAACGTCTCAATCAGCGCCACTGATGAATACAAGGATCGCATTCGCTTGGCTGAAAACTCCAGCCTGCTGCTGTCTGCGGCCAAGCTGAGCGACCAGCGCACCTTCACCTGCATGGTGGTGGCCGGCGCCGACATCACAGAATATCCGGTTCACGTGGTGATCTACAGTGAGTACAGGCCGGCTTGTGTCTTTTGTCACTTCAGGTAAATTGCCATGATGGCTGACATGCAGCGTGCACACTGACACCCTGTCCGTTCCTCTTCTAATGCATCGCAGAGACGGCGGCGGGCCTTGAGATTTCGGACAGAGCCGAGGAACTAGAGATCGGCAAACTTACAAAGGTGGGTTTTTAAATATAAACATTGCTTATGCCTACATTATTTTACACGGTGAACCATCAAGGGAAATCCCTCACTTGAGCTGAGGTAACTAGAGGCATAGCAGAGACCATGTTACTACAGTAATGAGTTCTTTGAAGTGATGCTCATGAATTACTAAAGGAGCAGAATCTCCTCCACTGCAATTAAAATACCCACGGGATCTGAGGGGCTTAAGAAGTGCTTAGGGCATTTCATGGTCGGAAAGACTCAGAAAAAGCCAATTTGCACAGATGTTTGGTCATTTAAAAAGATGCAGGCTTATTCTAAATTCATGAAATGTTTTTTGGGTTATTGTTCAACAGCTTGGGACATGCGTTGCAAAAGACTCTAACCCAGCTGCAAATATAACATGGCTCAAGAACAACTCACCCCTGGAGGCTGATGGGAAAGGTGCGTATTCTTCCTCCTCTTGGATGATTATAAATGCCAACAAAACAGCCCTTTTGTCGTGCTGACATTTTTAAATGTTACACACACAGATGTATTTATTCTCTCCGACTGGAACAGTAAATTATCCTTCAGTGATTAATTGCGCCGCACTCGCTGAGTGCGCGAATGCCGGCTTTGGGTCACGACACCCTTTTTAAAGTTGTTTGTTGCCCGTCCAGGGATATCCATCAAAGCCTCGGTGCTGGTGAACCCCGCTACTGGCCTCTCAACGACCACTTCCACACTGGAGTACTCGGCGCAGAAGGAAGACACCGGCGCCGAGTTCACCTGCAGCACTAAGCCCACCGTGGGCTCAGAGCTGTTCTCCCCTCCAGCAACCTTCACCATCACCTGTGAGTCCACGCATTTTCCAGGATTTCTCGAAAGGATTAGTTAAACATTTTGGCTACTTTCTTGGCCAGAGTTGGATGAGAGGATTGATACCAATCACACGGCAGCGCTGTAAACACGAAGGCGCAGCCAGCAGCTGGTTCGTTTGGCTCAGGGTACGAGGGAAAACAGGGAAACAACTAATACATTTCCACCACACCAGCAAGGTCCATATGAAATATAAATGAAGGAAACAGGATACATGTTAGCTTTTAGAAGTGCTGGTAAAAGGATTGTTTATGATTGCACAGAGCCAGGTTGGATACTTCTCCCTGTTTACAGCCTTTATACAGAGCTACACTGACCGTCTCCTGCAATATTCATACATACACATATATATATATATGTAACCAAGCCATATGAGAAAGGCATGGATCCTCTCTGCAAGAAAGTGAATGTGCGTATTTAATCATATTTTCCACAGTTTCTTTGGTATGTCCTCATAGATTATCAAAACAACAAACATTGCTTATTGGCTTGGGTATTTTTCCCAGAATCCAGATGCAGGCTGGAGTTCTACAAACATTTCCTATATTTTTTAAAGAAAATACTTAAAGCAGGTAGTTTCTGTCTGGCTTTATTCCAGTCTTCCTGCAGCAGGGCTTTCTCCATCATTTCATACCAGGTTCATCTGTTTAAGAATTGCTATACATGCTTTTCCTCTCTTTTTCACATATTAAAGACAACATTTTATGTTGAAACACTGTTTTCAGTTCATATCCTCCATTATTTAAGTGTGTTAATGTTTCTATTTACTCTAATCATATCTTTCTCTGTTTTTGGCAAAGGTATCATAATATGATGTTCATTTACAAATACAGTCTAAAGTAACACTAGCATGACTATTTAAGTAAGGTTTTAAGTGTCTGATCACATCAGCAGCAGCTGTAGCCATTGAAGCTAAACTGCCTGTGTATTTTATAGACTATATTAAGAGTGTTTTAATATATTTCCTTTGCCTCCACCCAAGAAAGACAACGGTGACAGCGACGTTTAATGGGGGCAGTTAAAAATTGAAGTGTGGATTTCTGTAGCTCCGTAGGGGGATTCATACTGAAGGCAGCATTACATAAGTTATCCGCATAACCTGGCCTTTAAAGTAAAACGTATCATCGCCGGAACACTTTCCTACGAGAAATGTAAAAGAGTTTCTCTCAGATGAAGCAAACGCATGCGGCTTTGAAAGGATTCTTTGGTCTGATGCCTTTAGAATATGACGACCATTCAACCGTCTCGTCGGCTGCGCTTTTAAGCTGGTCACAGCGAATACTGAGCGCTCTCTGTAGCGTGCTGACAAAGCCGGTCTCTGCGGTTTGGCCGTTGGGGACACGCGCTTTACTTAATGCGCGCTCCGCCCCCCCCTCCCCTCCCCAAACTCATCCGCTCTCTCGCTGTCCGTCCTTCTGAACAGACTCCACAGAGAACATCGTGCTTCAGGTTACCGCTCAGGACCCTCTGGTAGAAGGCGACAACGTGACTTTGAAGTGTGTGGCAGACGGCAACCCGCCTCCTACTGCCTTTAACTTCTACCTGAAGGTACACGCGCTCACCAATGTCTCTTTGAGACACTCAGAAGTGGCTTCTATTCGTGCCTATTACGTGCATTGTGTTGTTTTTCTTCAGGAACACCTTGACAGCTGATCACCCACCGTTGTTTGATTGTGTGTTTTTGTAGGGGGCGTTGGTGAAAGTTGAAAATGCAAATTCTTACACCATCAAGAATGTCACGCGTAACACGAGTGGGGAGTACAAATGCTCTCTTATCGACGACCCGTCAATGGAAGCATCAAAGGAAATCACCGTCAACTGTAAGTGACCAAGACACGGCGTATTGGTTCAGAAGCCGGTGGAATTTCCTTTACCACCTGTAGTCTTTTTCTATTACTATGAAAGCTAATTTCCTATTTGCTAATGAAAAGAGCCGGCTAATGTCCCTCCCAGCCAGCCTGCCTGTCTTACTGTGCTTTACAAAGAAAGATGTTGTGTCAACCGCTCGGCCTCTAACAAGCTGCATCTGCAGGGCACCGAGCCAAGTGCAGGGTTAACAACAGAGATGTTTCGACCCTTGTCAGAACAATCTCTTCACCATCTTCTCCTCCCTTGTTAGACCTAGACATCGATTTAAGCCCCTCTGGAAACATCGTCAAGAACGCCGGTGACGCCTTGGATCTATCGCTCCAGATTGACGCCTCTGGAATCTCGGCGGTCTCTTGGAAGAAGGTAAGAGCAATCGTTTACACGACTGAGCCTGAACGAAGAAAGGTGCCTAGTGGTTATTGACTGTGTCGGTATCCATTTTAATTTCATTCAGGACAATGTTGTATTGGATGAAGAGCCCAACTTTGCCGAGCTGACTTACACTGACTCTGGGCGCTATGAGTGTGAGGTGAAGATGGGGGGGCTCAGCCAGAAAGCTTTCATCGAGCTGACTGTCGAAGGTAAGGGGAAGCTCAGATGTTATTTGGCAAATCAAATTAAAAATTGATTCTTTCAATATTCTTGTACTGTCTTCCGTCGGTTCGTGTGCACAAATGCAAGAAATGCCACTGTTAGCTCCACGCATGCACTCATTCAGATGCATCAGAAGAGTTTCGTCCTGTTGCAGGTGTTCCAGTTATCAAACGGCTGATCAAAAAGCGCGGTGAAGACGGGAGACACAAAGTCCTGATCTGTGAGGTTGAAGGATCTCCAAAGCCGGCTGTTTCCTGGAGCATCAACGGCACCTCGGTATGCACACTCCTGTTGTTGTGGTCGAAATTATCCGACAGCCACTGTGCAGATTTTAGTTTCCCAATACAGTTTCCCGAATAAGATTTCCTAACGGCTGAGTGTGAATTGTCTAATGTACCTGTACTGATGCTAAAGGAACAGAATGCCATGTGCTATTTTGGCCAGTTAGAATTGGGCCGCTGTGAATGGGGGGACACTGCAAGTCAATGTTAGATGTGCCCCTCCTCTCCAAAAAATAATTAACAAGGTTCCCCATTCATACATTTATTCATTCCTAAAAACAGGTTGGTTTGTTGCTTACAAACCCAGTTTTGAAACGGTAACCCCTTAGATTTCAGTTGCAGTCACCATGGTAACTGTACATTTGATGTAAACACTTCTTGAGTGTGTATTGAACTAGTGTATCTGTTTACAGCACAGCCAACTTAACTTACTAGGTTCATTTTGAGTAATTTTCTAACAGTAAATATTGATCACATGTTTCCTGTGACTTATTTGTGTTTTCAACAAGCGTGGAAATGGCTGATTCTACCACCAGCTATGAGAACAGCTATATAGAGTTTATCAATGAATATTAATACAATGTAGGGCTTTTGCTAGAAATGAATTCCTGACAATAAATATCATCAAAAAATCTCATGTTTACATTGAAATCTCAAGGATTATAGCTTTTGAACTGTAATGAATTCTGTATCACAAAAACTGGAAAATATTATAAATTGGCCTTCGCATGATTTCAATAACTGAAGCTGAGAAAATAGACAACTCATTGAACCATGAAAAACCCATTTCTCAAAAAATAGATTATGGAGACAGAGTTTCCCGTGTGTGCTTCCTCGGCTCCTCCTGACCAACCGAGATTCACACCAAACTCAGTTGTCATCCAGAATGCTTTCAACGTTTCCCTTCACTGCTTAATACTGCTTGTTGAGAAGGTAACTGGTTTGTCCTTCAGTGCAGCTTCTACGATGAGATCTTTTGTCAACAGCATCTAAACGTTATCAATAAAGCATCTGAGACGCATTGTAGGTGATTTCTATGTGCAGCAGTTAATGCTTTACAAACCACTGAGATGCTCGAAAGGTCGTTTTTTGCCCTCCAAACAAACCAATCCGTCTAAGCGTGCGTCCATTGTGAGGGAGCTAAAAGGTTTGCCAGTGTCTTGCTCCCGAGTCAGTTCACGCTTTGCTTTTGTCCACTGAGTGAATACTGTCTGTTACGTGCCGATCCGTTTGCACTGTTAGTGCTTTCCCAGCTACCACACTTATCTAGTCCAAACATTTCTAGGCGTTTGTGCTCAGTGTTTCGAGAGAGTACATTTCCTCATTTTCTCTGAGGCTCAAACACAGACTGTCATGAAGCCGATTTTCCTTTGTTTAAACGGACCTTTTTTCTCTCTTTTGTTTCTGTGCTGTACCTTTGGTGCACACTGAAAGCAGAACCACTCCATGGTTGGAAAGCCATGGCTTTCAGATGTGTTCTTACCTCCAAACCCAAACTTGGGTGATAATTAATCCACTGCAAAGGAGCAAAGCTCTTTTACACTTTAGGATAATGAATTTTAGAGACGACACAAATTACAGTCAAAGTTTATTTTCAATCCTCTGATCCCATCCTTTACAGCCTATTCAAAGAGATTATAATGTAAGGCTGGAATACAGCCTCAGTGATGGGTATTTACAAAATGTAGAGGACATAAAAAAGGGTGTTGGCAGTTCGTCTTTGTGTCTGGGGTTTTCCTTTGGGACTTAGGAGGCTTATGTCCCAGAGGCACATGCTGCAGCTTTGTTATAGAAAGGCTTTTATCAATCCAACGTCGCCCCCTAGTGGTACAGAACATACACTTCTTACATGTGGCGCTGGAGCAGAAAGCATAAAGCATGCGAGTACTAATATTTGTGCTTTTCTTCTCCTGTTATTCAGCTCGATGAGAGTCCCTTTGTCAACGGGAAGATAACGCACAAGATCACAGTTGTGCCTACCGCAAATCTTACTGTCTCGTGTACGGTGTCCAATGAGTTTGGCGTGGACAGTAGGACTATAAATGTGTCATCCCGTAAGTACAAAGTGGTAAAACGGTCCTCTCGTCTCTCTCCGCTTGGTTTTCTTCCTGAAGACTAACCTACTTTTCCTTGGTAGAGGTTTTACTGCTCTTTTCACTCAACTCTTTCCGTCTGCATGTTGACTCCACGTGACACTAAAATCTCTGGATTAAATTTACCCCAATTTAGCAGGTGGTTGCTAAAAAATTATTCATTTTTAAAGAGATAAAACAAATTTGGGGTCAAAACAAACTTTGATGATACATACGCTACCAATCAGTTTACCTTAATCCATGCTAGGGAAAGATAATTGGAAACATTTGAAAAGAAGTACAAATGAGCAGTTAAAAAGACCCGTTTTGTACAATAAGTGTTTGTTTTTTTTAATCCTTTTTAGGATTTAACTTCCAACACTTTGCAGCTGTCCACTGTCATCATCGCATGCTCTCAGCGCCTTTTAGACACTTTAGTCGCTATCATTCGTTGCTCTCCCCTCCTTACTCATTGCAGCGTGTTTGAGACGTCATTTCATCTCTCTTCCCTCCTTTCACTCAGTGGTGTGTATGTTGGGATGCTGGATTTAATCTGTTCCCTCTGTTGAACTTCTCGCATGCAAAAATAGAATAGAGTTAAAGTGGTATCTTTTTTTGGACATCACGCTTGAGTTTTTTCTTTTTTGTTGGAAGTTAATTTTATTTTATATCTGATTTCAGTAAATGAGGAGGTGAGAATGGATAAACAAGGTAAGTTGTAGCGGTCTTCTTGCTTGTAAGAGCGGGTAGTGGGAGGGTATCAAATGTGCCTCACTGAAGGAAGGGCCTTCAATTCAATATTTACCGTTACCATCAGACCTAAACCCTTCAACAGGAAAAAACAACCTTTGGACCGTGTAATAAAACATACACGTGAAGCACTAGGAGGAGTTTCCAGCATCCTGACAAAATGTCAACATTGTCCGTAATCCCATTGGCTGATGAAATGAATCACTGAATAGCTGTCATTAACATTTAACTCGATGAGTCATAACCATGTGGGTGTGTCCATTCATCAATGCACTTATTGCACACAATGACTTTTTTGCTTCCCTGTATTAGTATGCAGTCGCGCTGGAGTTTTATACCAGTATGTGGCCCCCGGATCTCATGTTTCTGCTTTGTCTTGCAGACCAATCAGACGATAACGACCAAACCAAGTTGGTGGTTGGCGTTGTGGTCGGTCTCCTTGTTGCCGCTTCGGTTATTGCCCTTGCCTACTTAGTCTACATGAAGAAATCCAAGTAAGAAGATCATACAAATCATAATGCTGTTGTATTATTATGCTCATTTTTGGATGTGCTTTATTATGTCATCTTGGTACATGGTTAAAATATTGTTACACATAGTTTCGGTTGTTTTTTGGTAACTAAACAATATGCAACTCCATAGACAGATATTTCTGTTAAAGGAAAACTATACAGGTATTAGTTTCCCATTATACCTACCTACTTTGAGTACATTTACTCACCACCACGTTCCGAACCAGTGCAAAAGAACACTGTATATTAGATATTACGTAGCACACGTGTAGTCCACATAACCTCCTCCCATAAATAGTTTGTTCTTTGTTGTACTGTAGAGCATTTTGGGAAATAATGTTTTATTCTAAACAGGCAAGGAAGCTGGAAGACCGGCGAAAAGGAGGACGGGTCCTCTGAGGAGGAGAAAAAACTGGAGGAGAAAGTGGAAGAGAACAGCCAAAAAGCTGAGGTGTAAAGAAAAGTGAACGTCTCCTGGAAATGTGAAAGGTACAAAACATTTCCATCGAATTACTTAGAATTAAAGATGGAAAGGGTTATTCTCTTTTAAAAACAAATCTGACTTAATTCCTTGTCTTTCCAGTTGGAACGTGAAACTTTTACACAAAAAAACAAGTGTACATTGGGACGAAGACGCTTTGGATTTGGTTTCAGGGAAGATTTGACAAAAAAGCATATCCAAATACCCCCCCCTCAACGCTTCAAACCATCACTCCATTCCAAGAAAAAGAAGAAAAAAAAGAAAGAAAGACGGAATGCATACTGAATGCGGAATACATAACTTGTCTGCACTACTGATACACGTGTAAACTTGTCCACTATTAGGACTGGAATGGAATTTGGGAAACTGAGATAACGCAGATCTTTTTTTTTTTCATTTTGCTAGTTGATGCAAGTAGAATTGCTACTAGACCAGTTGCCTTTGCCGTAAGGATGTGTAGGCCTGCATTAGTCTGACCGTTCGGCCCTCCGAAGGGACATCACCGCCACCGCTTTTTAGCTTCACGTCGCCACAGTCGAACCGCCTCTGCCTTCAACATCCGTGTGCTAAATGTGTTTATCGGAGCATTTCTTCCAGTTTGTCTCCTCAGCCGTAAAATAATGTTGAACTAGAGAGGAAATTCCTGAAAGGTTTACGGGTTATGGGGGTTAAACTCGACATTAGTTGCAGATGGTGATATGATTTACACTGCAGGAAGTGAGCGAGTTCTTTGGCATTACATGATTTTTGATTTTTTTTTTGTTCTTTGATCGTGTGTACCTCTTTGCAAAGTAATCAAGATTAAAAAAAAAGAAGAAACTCAGTTTATTTTTCCCATTTATTTTTTTCAAATGTACTGTACATTCGACACATAACCACTGTGTAAGACAGGCATGTAGATTATTGAGCAAAAGTTTAGGGTACTCATGCTGTTGGCTGTACAGATTGTTTTACATTTTGTTTTCACGCATAATAACTCATTTAGCCTGTTGTAGTGAAAGAAAGTTTCATGGCTGTAAGTGAATTCTCTATTTGTTCCACATTAGTGTATGATTGTTTATTGTGTAGCATTTTTGGGACGGAGCACGCAGAGAGGACCAGGTGTTTATCTTAAAGTAGCCGTCACGATAAATTTGCCTTCTTTTAAATACCAACCTGTAGTTGCTTCAGTTTGTGATGTGCATTATAGTTCCTGCTTTCGTGTCAGATTTGTGTAGAATACGATGGAATACGCGCGGCTGTACATTTCACAAATTTGGTCGTTTTTAAGAGCGTTTACTCAATTTGAAAATGTATCAAGACTGGGATGTTATTGTGAAGTATGTGAATTTAATTTTCTTTTTGCTATTTATATTGTAAAAAATGTCCAGGTAGGCAAATTCAATAATGTCCATGTAATTCATAGCTTGGATTGAAACAGTCGATAAAATGCTTGCAGACATTACTAAGGTGTAATTAAGTTGCGAGTCCTCCGTAGTTGGCTCAGCGTCAGGTTGAACACTGGATTCACAGCATGTGATAGTCTCACACCTCCAAGCTGCTGTTTGTAAAACCATCAAATTGGAAGAATGACCAAAGAAAGTGAACATTGCCATGCAAGTATTGTAAATACCTGATGTTTGTTTTTGTACTTTTGTTTAAAATAAAGTGTACATTTGGAAAAAACCTGTCCACTGAATATTAATTATGTTACAGTTTCCACATTTGTCATCTTTGAAATAAAGAGCAACATGGTTTTGAAATGTGTTTCACCTCTGGGAATAAAATAAGCATTTGTTTGTTGTTTTTGTATTTTTTGGTTAAAGATTAACAGAATTAAACGAAATATAATTTCAGTATATATATAAGTATTGTATTCTGTAGGAGGAGAAGAACATTACAAACAATCTTGGAATGTGATGGAATAGAGAATGTGGTGTGTTGTATTACAATAACTATCGCATTGCAAACATGTTCAATTCAATTCCGTGTTTTAACTGAAATTCTTTGTTCAAAATTATAATCTCTGCATAAAACGTATCAAGCTTTTGGATTTCATTCTAAATTAATTATCAAAATGAATATGGTATTTTTCATTAATAGTACAGAATAATTGTTTTTCTACAACAACAGGTGGAACCTCTCCTTGTTCCAAAGAGGCGAGGTTTCAGGGAAAAAAACCTTTAGCTTTGTTCCTGTTGCCAGTCTGACTAAAAACAACTGGAAACAAATGTACACGCAGATACGTATGAAATGTGAATTGTCTGCATTTCAGATTGAAAACCATTTCACCACCAAACAATTGAGGAAAGTACATTTACTCAAGTATTGTGTTTAGGCACTTAAAGGTACTTTAGTTCTATTTCCCTCTGCGGCACCACAATTCTGAGATGAATGCTTGTACTTTTACCTCAGTAAACCTGTGGAATTCAGTGATTTTACACTACGATATTGTACTTCAAACCTAAATAAAGACACAGAATACTTCTTCCATTACTGCAATTAACTTAAAGCAAAACAATATCTTCGGAATATATTTTGAGTCATTGGTGGCGTCTGTGGGGCTGCATGTCAAAGTCGACAATTAAATGGCAGAAACAGATGAGGACACTTGTGTTGATGCATAATCTCCAAATAAAGTGTATTCTAAGAAGTGTAAGCATGGACTCGTCTCTGCATAATACTAAACAAAATAGGCTTCTACTGCCACCCGGTGCTCAAAGAAATTACTGTAACAGTCAGTTGGAGTCAAGGACACATATCTGTTAGTACAGGTTTTCTTGGAATAAAACCAATTTTTAAACAGCTAAATTCTGAGAGGATAATGAAATTAGATGAGTCAACTTTATTAGAAAAGTTAATTACAACAACATTAGAATAAAACGGGAACAAAGGTGTATGAGACGTAATACCAAATCCACTGCCAACAGAACCACAATAACAGGGAAATAAGTAGTAACTACAATACAAAACGAGTAGTGCCTATCATATTGAAAAAAAGGAATTAGAATTAGAAAGTAATATTGCACTTCACATTGAAAGGGAGTTTTATAATGTTGAATAATATTGCACATGATAATGAAATTAATATTCTTAGCGGCCAATGATTCTGCTCGCGCAGAATAAATGTTAAACAACTGCCAATGTGAGGATTAAAGAGTTGGTTTCTACTGAAATTGAAAAACATTTTTGGCTTGTAGGAAAATAACTGCATTTGTGATTTTTATTTCACAGGATTTTTCAGTGTTGTGATAACTTTTATGCAGGATTTAAAATGTTTACAGAACAAATGTAATAATCCGACCACCGAACTGAATGAACATCACAGATATATGAAAGGTCCATATATCTGGTCCACTAAATGGAGCAATCAAATCATTCAAGTTCAAAAAACATTTGTTTCGGCTTTTAAGATTCTATTTGGATCACAGGAACTTGTATTGCAATGGTCTGAAAATCCAGAGCAAATCAAGGCTTACTATATTTATTGAACAACAATCATCTTTCTCAGACATGATTAATAGTAGTCTTGAGTTTAATGTACTAAAATTCTCTAAAATAGGCAAATTCAGTGAAACCTAACACACACCAGCAGCCAAACAAGTACGATACTGACAAAAGCAACACTCAATAACTCAATAACAAAGCCAATATCTGCACTGCTGTCACAAACAGGCCAAGCTTTACTTCTTTCTCTCCACGTACAAATCAAAACACACACTTCATGTGTTTTCCAAATGCCCGGAACGCCATGTGGCAAAGATCTGTCATAAACAGGAGTAAACTGTATGGACTTTTTCTCCAGGCTTTTACCATTGAGTGTGGTTTTAAAGTGGTATTCATCTAGCAAAACATTGTTTTATTTATTTTGTAAGTGCATTAGGGTCTCCGCAGCGGCTGCTTCCGTTTCTGTGCCGTCGTAATGCAGACGGCTCATGTGGGCTGCAAGTTAAAATGTGTGTTCAATCACTCCTTGACTCAACCAACACTCTACATTAGAAATACCTGAGAATTGCATAGAAATGGTCCAGTTATATTGAAAATATATGCAAGAGTATGTGTCTTCCAAACACTTGCTATTATTTAGCGATGGTTATGGGGTTGTTTGATGTGTGTAGTTGTGCGTGTGTCTCTCCTTCTGATGCTGATGACCTATCCAAGGTGTTCCCAATGTCTTGTAGTCAAAAGACCAAGCTATTTTTTAGAGAATATATGGATAAAGGTTTTTTACGTAAACTATTGGAGGCAACCGTGTATAGTGAATCATCATCATGAGGAGAGTAGTGGAGCTCTGAGTATAAGAGGGAGACACCGGCCGGTATGAATCCAGTTGTCTTAACTGAAGCCGAGCAACAAAATACTGAACAAAATACATATACATTTGGTATGGCAGTGCTTCTTAAATGTTATAACCTATGTGAAACCTACAAAGTAATCAATAAAGCACCACACATACATACAAACAGTACCAGTCAAAAGTTTGGACACGTTTTCTCAATCAATTCAATGAGAAAGTGTGTCAAAGCTTTTGACCGGTACTGTAAATCCTACATCATTCGATCACAAATCAATCAGGGCAGACAGCTCTCTCAAACAACAACACAGAAGAATTAAACCAAAACCAGACATGACAACCCCACGTCGTAGGTGAACACAGTCTTAAAATGTCCATCCGTCTTTTATTGTCCAAATTTGGCAGGCAGTCCTAACTGCTACTGATGGAAAGTCGTCTTGTTGCTTCCTTTGGTTGGAATGGGAGCCCCGCAAAAAACAACTATGGGGTTCGCACACAGCCAGCAGATGTCATAACTTGACAATTTCACTCAGATTACAGATGTATCTTGTGCCTGGAGGGTACGGGAGAATAATTGCTGTGCAATAGTTAAGTGTCATGACAGTCTCAGGTGGAATAACAAGTGTTGTGGGGAAGTAACAAAGTTTATGTGATGAATTATTGTGATAAATTGCTATCAAATTTGACAGAAATGTAGATGTGTTTTGAAAAGCTGTCTAAATTAAAATATTCAATAACTATAAGTAAAGTTTTGTTATTTATTGTGCTGCACTAACACATGTTAAAAGACAATTGAAGTTGAAACAGTTTATTGAGGCAAATTCGTTTTCTTTAAAAAATAAATACAATGAGGTAAATATGCTGACAAACAAGTCCAGAATATAAATAGTGATTAAAACTATGTAAATTGCATTTCAGCTTTAGAATTAAGTGTCTCAGCTATTTCGTACGTTTATCATTCCAACCATTAAAATTAAAAGATACCTTCATGGACATAAGAAGTAGGAAGAAGTAATATATTTCAAAGTTTCTCTGAGACTCATTGAAGATGCACACAAGCATACTAGATACCATCCAAAGTTTTTGTGCATTTTTAGTGGAACATTCAAAAATGAAATGGAAATATAGCTGTCTTTTATTAATACATTAGTATACCTCATTGTCTATTTCCAATCAGAACAACCTCAACAGCTTCTCATCAACAGACTCCAAAACCCTTCTTTCTCCATATATATATATATAATGGTTATATATATAAACATATAAATGGAGAAGGGAGGGAATAGACAATGTAAGTATACCAAATGTCTGTATTTTTTTCAGTGTGAAAATATTATTAACAATCGGGCTATGGCTCTGACTGTGAATGAGTTTGGGTTGATCTAGTTTTCATATTCACATCACTAAATCACTAAACAGAAAGATAACAGGAGAAGCATAACATTCTATGGTAGTTTCGATTCGTAAAAATGCAGTCTTTTCCACAAACATTTCTTCTAGCTGGTAGCAACGAGCCAAACAAGACAGAGAGGGACACCACTCGAGTTCTGCGTGTCCTATAACTCTGGCCAGTTAGATCTTATTCGTCATTGGTACATCCGGGGACTTAATTTTTTTGATTGACAGTTGCCATGGCAACAAGCTAGAGCATCGCCATTTTGTCAGGAGGTTTTTTTTTCCCAGCTCAGTCTTTTCAAATGTTCTCCCTTCCCGCCGGAATAATGCTGCCAGTGGATGTATATTTGACGTTTTTGGATATCGAAATGCGTCTAGTAGACCGGATTAAGAAGATCAAGAGGCCGACGTTTTAACATAGCTGAAATAATTAGGCGGCGCCGCACTAACTCAGTTGTCCGTGTCTCTGGTCCACCGGGCCGGTTCACTGCGCAGGTTTGGACCGCGCGCCATTTTGTGAAAATTGACACAAAATTCTTAACCAAAATTATCAGAGGACACGGTTTCTGTTTCATCTTTGAAATCCTCTGGATTTAACTGTATTGTCGTGATCATCGAAGTGACCGACGCTAAATTTGCAAAGACACGGTAAAACTCGGAATTTGGCACAACGTTTATTTAGCGGCGGCTAGAATTGTTAGCTTGAGGCTAGCCAGAGAAGCTACAGCTAGCCCAGGCAGGTAGCTAATGGTAGCTGCGTTCATTTTGTCAACTAACGTTAGCTAGCCAGTTCGCTAGGGTTAGCTAGTAAGTTATGCGTGCTAGTCAACGTTAGCATGTTGCTTGTCATCAGCTGATGTTAACATTAGTCAAAGTTGCTTCGATCTCAAATGTCGTTCACCATAGCGTGGGATATGAAAACCGTATTAGATCTGGCCGGCGATTTTTTTTAGCTTGCCGATCTGAGGACGGGGAGTGGATTTAACGTTAACATTACTCGCTAGCCGTTCGGGGAGGGGAGAATCTCAAGCTGGATAAGTTTCCTCATCATACAGGTTATTGGACTTTAAATGAAGATCGTGCCATCAGAGGTGAGCAATTGCAAAATGTTGTTTTTGACATTAGCCTTCGCGTGTTAACATTTTCACGTTAACGCTTTTGCAGCTGTATGTGACATGTAACGTGAACGGTTAACAATGATGGACGCGACAGTGAAGTTGAGAATAGTAGCTTATGGTATGGCGGCTAGCTTACATTTTGTGGTGGTGCCGACTCCACTGAAGCCAGCGCTCGCTTTCAGTCAGTGTGTCAACGGACAAATTATAATCTTAATCTAGAACAGGTTTGTATATTGTTGTGAATTTCGACGGACCAACGGATTGTATGGGCTTGGACGGAGAGTCATGCTGGCACGGCGAACGGCACAGCTAACATTAACCGTGCGATATTAGACAGTGTCATTGTAAGTCACAATTGAAGAAGATGCCGTTTTGTTAGCTAACAGCCCCGTTGGATGTATCGCGAATGCGATATCTTACTGCACAGATATCTGCGTTAAGTGTAGTTTTTTTTTCTTTTTTTTAAAGCGCTGCACTAAACGGAAGCTCACCTAGCCAACGTTAACCTGGCTAACGCCTGGTAGCTCATTCAGCTAACCTGGCTAATGGTTAACGCTGGGTTGTTGACGAACCAGCTGAATGGGCCCCAACAACCCGCTGGCTGAACGCAGCGTCACTAGCTAACGTTAACGTTGGATTGGTGACAGATATGCTTGCTTGCCCCGCAGTTTTCACGGTAACGTTAACGACGACAACGTTAGCTGGTTAGACCGCTAACGGCAACGCGAGCCGGAATACGTTTGTCATTAAGACGAGGATTTGGAAACATACGCGGACAATATGTAGGAAGAGAAGACTCCAAATTAACACCGAATATGCGTTCTAAATTTGAACCATGACGAGATCTACCCCATCATCTGTAAGTACAGCGTTACTAGGGTGCCGTTTTTATTCACGGACGTTAGGCTCGGAACTGTTGTGGATGGGTCGCATTGGATCCAGGTTTGGAATGGACCGTATCATTTGGGCGTGATAAGATGACACATAGGCTTGTTACAGAGGTCTTCAGCTATCACTTATAACATGATACAGCTACTAATAGCATGTTAGCGGTCGTTATATTTACACCTAACGTTAAATAGGCCCGTTGATGCCGCGGTGAGTGGAGCCAGGAAAGGAACTGTTCATATGCCAGTACTGAAAAGGAAGAATTATCAATCGTTTTGATCGTAAATATAAGGTAAAACTGCGCTTGCCAAATGGATTCATTGTCAAATACATCTTGACGTTTTCCCTTTTTAAATTCACTCCACAATTATGTTAGTACGATTTTTGGTAGTCAGTTTCTAAAATAGGCTCAAGGCCTTTACTGTTATTTGTTCATTTGCATGATATATCAGCCTACAGTAATATACAATGACGTTTATTCAGTAACTTAGGTTGGGATGTCTAGTTTGTATTGTATTTTTTTTTATAAAGTATTTTTCCTCCTCCTATAGTTATAGAGGATTTCAAAAATCCTCTATCTATACTGATGTATTAACTATGGGCATGCTGAGCAGAGAGCCACAAACAAGTTCACAACAAGATTACTCCACATTTGTTTTGTCAATTACCATGTAGTCCGGGACACTGGGTGAACTATTCATCTTTTAACAGTGTCACAAGAGCTTTCAGGTGTTTTATGAATTCAAAATGTAATTGCCTGTGCTTCACATATTTTTGACAGTTGATCCAAAATGAGCTACCGCTTCATACATTTTCATAAATGTATATAAAAAATCCTAAAACTTCTGCCAATAACCCCAACATACTTTTCAAAGTTTTGGGGAGGTCCTCTATTCTCCAAGGGTCCTCTGTCCTTCTTCGCAACAAAAGTTTCAGCACTATGACGTTAAATCCACACCGAGGATCCACAATGATCAGTTTTTAATATTTGTAGCGGGTTTGCTGCTGCAAACTCCCAGGACAATATGATATTTTACAGGTGAGGCTTTATCCAGTTTAGATGCTATATATTAGGCCTTAACCCTTTGGTTGAAAGTGGTTCACTTAAGATCTTATTTAGCTGAATCAGCCACCAGACTCATACACTTTGGAACATTCTAAAAGGGAAATGTCAAAGTTATTTATTAAAATAAAAATGTAATGCAGTTTGTTACTTTATTTTTTATTGAAATTGCTCAGAATGATTAAGAATTGTTTTCATCTCTCAGCTGAACGAGCATGAAAATAGACACGCAGGTCGTGAGAAATAAGTCTAAAAGTCTTAAAATGAAAGCCCTAATATCCAATATTTTATTCTATATTAAAAAAGAAATATATTATACACACACATACTGTATTTTAATACAGGCTTTGACTGTGCTAGCATTTTACAGTTCCTCTTACTTCTGTCATTGGATGTGTATATTTCCTTTTCCAAACCTGGGTCAGCTTTCTAATGCTCTCAGATGGAGTGCAGGTTTTGGGCTGTACAGCTATTTTTCTGTCAGGCTCTTGTGTTGAAGACAGCGTCTAAGTGTGCCAAAGTTCAATTTTATTTCTTGTTTATTTCTTGTTTTCTCATTGGAAAATGGGAGCAGCTCTGCCCTGGCAACAAAAGTAGGCTATTTGCATACTGCGTTGTGATTGGTCTGTGCATTGATGGGCTTGCCAAATCACGCTGTATCTCTGTGGTGATAGGCTATGCTAATTAGGTGCTGTTGCTGGGATTCTGAATAGTGGTTACTGTGTAGCACTGGTGAATTGTGTTGTCTGGTGAGAGATGCTGATAGCTGCACATGCTATTTGATATATTTTTTTGATACCTTGTGGCTTAAAATGAAGGATGATTCACTGTATATTGTGGAGATGCTTTATTTTCAGCCCTTTACACTGTAAAACCTGCGGTTTTGCTCCTTTTTCTTCACAAAGGTTGAGCCAGGATTTATTTTGTTTATTCTTTGCATTTTTCTTACCATACATGTTTAACAAGATACTTAGTATTTATCAGAGCTTACTCTTTGCAATGAATTAATTCATTTTATTCTCAGCATCTTAAGATCAGTTTGTCTCAGTGTGAGCTTGATCATTCCACCATGCATGTAAATAAAATAAATGCATACTTTGCATTTTGCATATATACACATCTATATCAATTAATTTAGTCTACACGTTATTTTGTCAAAGAAATTCTCACTCATCCAGAATATAATCCCCTTTTATATTCCATCCATGCAAAAGGAAGCCAATATCTTTTTTTTATATTTTATTTTTAGGCCGTACACTGCCTCTATGGAAGAGGAGCTACTGCTTTTTCTTTTTTTTTACATGGAGATCATTAGGCCTTTCCCTCCTTTGTGTGTTTTGTTGCATGGAATGTTGAATTAAGGTAATATGCAGCTCATGGCAGTATTCATTTCTTCTAGGAGGAGAGACTTCAGCATGCAAACCTTCGTCCGTCCGGCTTGCGCCCTCTTTTTCTTTACACACTGCTGGTCTTCAGATGGCTGCTCCAATGCCCCATACGCACCAGCAGTACAGTGACCGCCACCAGCCAAGCACTGACCAATCTGTTACGGTTTTACCGTACAGCGACCAGACACCACAGCTCACTGCCAATCAGGTACACTAACTCGACGCTATGCCAGCCTTTGCAGTTCTGTTAGTTTTAACGTTGAGTGTTTGCAAAAAAAATTGCAATATTTAGTGTGATATGAAAGGATATTTCCCGTCTCTGCTGCTGTTACCAGGCAGAGTAGCTGCTTATCCATGTTCAGTCTAGCCCTTTAGAATTGTGCAGTATATTGTTTATAGATTTAATAAATGGCTTCTGAGATTCATCATAAGCCCTGCTACTTAATTGTTTTGTACATATTGTTGGTTATTTGTTTCTTCATGAAATATTGTGACTTTCCCATTTGATACTTTAGAGGCACATGCCCCAGTGCTTTCGTGACCCAACTTCAGCTCCCCTGAGGAAGCTCTCCATTGACCTTATCAAAACATACAAACACATCAATGAGGTTTGTTTTGATTTTAACTAAATGCCTTCATGTAATTAATCTGTATTTTACATAGTAAATTTGTAAAAATTGTTGAAAATGTAAGGGACGTGAAACATGTTCAAGTTTGATCATTTGAATTGTGTATTTGTTTAATTTATAGGTGTATTATGCAAAAAAGAAGCGACGGCACCAACAGGGTCAGGGTGAAGACTCCAGTCACAAAAAAGAGAGGAAAGTCTTCAATGATGGCTATGACGATGATAACTATGACTACATCGTCAAGAATGGGGAGAAATGGATGGACCGCTATGAGATCGATTCCTTGATAGGAAAAGGATCATTTGGACAGGTGCTTATTTCTAAGTTACACACAACAAATAACAGTAATATGTTTAATATATTTTTATCTGCAGTTAACTATAGAAATGCTTATTTGTTGTCAAAGGAACCGCTTCCACTGACTTGTCAGAGATGGTAAGAATGTTCCTCTTGTTGGCATCTTTAGGTTGTGAAAGCGTACGACCGTGCAGAGCAGGAATGGGTTGCCATTAAGATCATCAAGAACAAGAAAGCTTTCCTCAATCAAGCCCAGATTGAAGTGCGCCTCCTAGAGCTCATGAACAAACATGACACCGAGATGAAATACTACATCGGTAATCCACTCTTGGAATCTACCTGTGATCTGATAAAAGGTATAAAAACCATTTTAAAGGCTCTTCTTGTATTTGACTAAAACGGATGCAATCGGATTTTCTGCAGTTCACCTGAAGCGTCACTTCATGTTCCGGAACCACCTCTGCCTCGTGTTTGAGATGCTCTCCTACAACCTGTATGACCTTCTCCGAAATACCAACTTCCGCGGCGTCTCACTCAACCTCACCCGGAAGTTTGCCCAGCAGCTATGCACGGCGCTGCTCTTCCTGGCCACGCCTGAGCTCAGCATCATCCACTGTGACCTGAAGCCCGAAAACATTCTTCTTTGTAACCCCAAGAGGAGTGCCATCAAAATAGTGGACTTTGGCAGCTCATGCCAATTGGGACAACGGGTATTTAGTGCCATTTTTTTCCTTTCTTGTCAGCAATAAAAGTAATGTTTGCAAGAACGTCTCTTGAGACGTGTGGGCTAGTTGTTGCCTCGAGGCGTCCGTAATTCCGAGATTACAAGCAAAGAGATAATTCTGAAGGACCAATGCTTTCTTTTTGTAGATATACCAATATATCCAGAGTCGCTTCTACCGTTCCCCGGAGGTGCTGCTGGGAATGCCCTATGACCTGGCCATCGACATGTGGTCCTTGGGTTGCATCCTGGTAGAGATGCACACTGGAGAACCTCTCTTCAGCGGCGCCAATGAGGTATAAAGAAAACTAAAATGCTCTTTGTGTTGTTAGTTGATATTGTAACTGGCAGGGAGTTTATTATAACATTATTATAGTTCTTTTCTCTGATGTGTAGCTTACAGATATCGTTTAGGCCTGGAAGATTGTGGCTGAATTTTCCAAACCTAAAACGTATCACATAGCAGTCAGTTGTCACGTCCTTAAATTGCTTCCTACAGTCATCGTGCCCCTTTGCCTGATCCTAAATGATTTGACAGTTAAGTCAACACAGAATAACATTGAATTTCCCATTTACGGTGTATAGAATCTATTCAGTGCACTTTCTTCAAAGTTGCAGATGTATAAAGTAAATCTTGTACTAACTTGATCAATAACTTGTTTCCCAGGTGGACCAGATGAACAAAATAGTTGAGGTTCTGGGTATCCCACCTAATCACATAATGGACCTAGCCCCAAAAGCCAGGAAGTTTTTTGAGAAGCTTTCAGATGGTACATGGAGTGTTAAGAAGACCAAAGATGGCAAAAGGGTGAGCACACTGTTCTGTGGTGGTAGTGGAAATTGTGGTGGATTGAGTGATGTTGTACAGAAGTCCTGGCAGAGTAAATCTCTTAATCTTTGTGTACTCTGCCTTAAACAGTATAAGCCTCCAGCCTCTCGGAAGCTCCACTCCATCTTGGGTGTGGAGACAGGGGGTCCAGGGGGCCGGCGGGCGGGAGAGTCTGGCCATGCTGTTGCCGACTACTTGAAGTTCAAGGACCTGATCCTCCGGATGTTGGACTACGACCCGAAGAGCCGCATCCAGCCCTACTATGCCCTGCAGCACAGCTTCTTCAAGAAGACTGCGGACGAGGGGACCAATACAAGCAGCAGCGTGTCCACCAGCCCTGCATTAGAGCAGTCCCAGTCTTCAGGAACCACCTCCAGCACCTCCTCTAGTTCAGGTGAATGGCACATGAAAACTCTCCTTCGTGTAAATCATTGGAAGAAAATGTTTGAATCCGCTGTAGTCTCCCTGGTTAACGCAGAAATTGATCCTGTTGGGTGACATTTATCTGCTCGCTAAAGGGATATGGAGTTTGTGACACTTTTGTTTAACCCTTAGGAGGATCATCTGGGACAAGTACCAGTGGCAGAGCGAGGTCAGACCCTACCCATCACCACTTGCACAGTGGAGGACACTTTGGGGCGGCTTTGCCTGCCATCGACGGTGACAGCCTCTGCCCACAGGTCAGTAGGAGGCACCTTCTGTAATTCCTCCTGATGCCGTGATGGTGGTAACAAATCATTTGAGTATATGATTTGTTTTTTTGTATTTCCCACACCATGCTTTTTTAGCATTTACATAGGAGCCAGCTCTTGTATGTTACGTTGTCCTAATAAACTATGTTGTATAGAACAAATGGAAAATCCTTAACAGAATTGCTACATTTTTCATGCTGCTCGATTAACGCGTCAATACTAATAAAATACAGGATTAACATTAAAATTCAGTGACCGGTCTTGGATTTTATTAATGTAACTTGTATGTTCTTTAATTTCGGGATTATTATCTCATGACCATAACAGTAAAACAACCCTTAGTGAATCTTAAACATTGGTGCAGCCAAAATCAACAACTGACTGTTCTTTCTTTTCTGACCGTGGCAGGCAAGACAGCCTTACCCACCCCCGCTGGTGTGGGGAGGTGGTGTTGGACCAGAGTCTGTCCCCGGAGAGACTCACCCAGTCCAGGAGACCACCTTCCACGTTCCCCCTCAGCACCCTAAGGCCCTGCATCCCCACTCGCATACTCATCACCACCACGGGCCGATGATGGCTACACGACCACGCCCGCGCCACTACACCTCCCCGACACACAGCTCCTCAACACAGGACTCCATGGAGGTGGTTCATGGCCATCTGTCCATGACCTCCCTGTCTTCCTCTGCCTCCTCTTCCTCTACATCGTCCTCTTCCACTGGGAACCATGGCAACCAGGCCTACCAGCTCCGCCATTTGCCTCCCGGAGCCCTTGACTTTGGTCAGAACGGTGGGCTGAGCATGGGGCTAGGTGCCTTCTCGAACCCGCGGCAGGAGACCGGCATGGCGGCGCACCCTGCGTTCTCCATGGGCACGAACACGGGGCCAGCCCACTACCTAGCGGAAGGCCACCTGGGCATGAGGCAGGGCATGGACCGGGAGGAGTCTCCAATGACTGGAGTGTGCGTGCAGCAGAGTTCTATGGCCAGCTCGTGACTGCACTGACATTTGGCTGTGTGTTCCCCCCTGTGCGTCATTTTTAAGGTGGTGTTTTTTACTACAAGGTGTGTTGAGAACAAAAGCTGCTCACGTCAGAAGGGAGATATCACTGAACCGCTACTACAGAGAAAAGGCTTTGTTAAAAAGTATATATGTAATTTTCATCCGTTTTTCTTTTGCGATCATTAGGCACAAAATAATACTGCGGAATAACCATAGTGAGATTGAGACATCCATCTTACCATTTCACCAGTTTCATGTAACCACCAAGTAATCACCATATGGTATTATGTGGCAAAATCTTCTAAGGAGCATTTCAGAGCAAAGTTTGATGCTGTTTTACAGGTAGCTGTTGGTGATGAAATGCTTGGCGTCCTCTTTCGGTTCAATCTGTGGACTGCCTGACATTATTGTTCCACTGGTTCTTAATTATTTTGCCCTTTTTTTTTCTTTTTTCTTTTTTTAAAGTGAAATTTCTCGTAAAAAGCTGCTTGTAAATCCTGTAGCTTGACAATGAGGGGGAAGTGTTTGCGGTGATATTTCTTGTTGTTGGTCGGTTTTGTGTAACTCTTGTTAAAGGGGAGCACATAGCAGTGGAGTCCCTATAGCGTGTGCTGGCCCGGGTGGAGAGGAGACCCCGCAGGTGGATACTGACGCCAACTGGGGCAAAAAAAAAAAGCGAGGGAAGCGCCACCCCTCCGGCCGAGAGGCCCCGTAGTCCTGCGAGCTGCAACCCGGCCCGGCACAGATGAGAGCAGCGATGGGCTCCGGAGACGAAAGGATCCAGCCCTGTTAAAGGAAGACAGTCAGTGGCTGGTTCTAGACAACCCTTTGGCCTTATGACTCATGGACTTGGAATGGGATGGAGCTGGACATTTTCATTTGAATTAAGATGGCTTTTCTCTATTTTTCTCTAGACAGCCCTTAATTCTTTAAGGAAATAAAACAACTTAGAAAAGGTAAATAAGAATGGTAATTTGAGGCCTTTCTCGACAAAGATTTCTTCAGCAGGGCCCCACATAACAGGGTCTTATTGTACACAACAACCTCCTAAACATTACTTCCTTGAAAATCTTATTCACTGGTTAAGGATTTTGCAGTGGAAAGAGCTATCTATTCCAGAGTCTACCCTTTTATGTTTTGTTATTTTTTCCCTTTTGCATGTAGTTCCTCATCAGAACCACCTGCACAAGTCTCTCCATCCAAAACATGGAAACTGAAGAAAAAAATGAGTTAAGTGACTGCCTTTTTTCTCCTCAAATTATGCTGTGAATTTTACAAGAATTTATTTTCCCTTTGGATATGTTTTTATACCAAAGCAGTTGTTTTATAGCATATAGGTGTCTGTAACCAATAATGTAGCAGTTCACCACTTTGACGCAAAGTTTATCAAGATCTTATTTTAACGTCAATACAAACAGCTGCAATATATTACTTTAGCAAAACTGGAGACCGTTGTTGAGACCGTTGGCTATTGTGTATTCTGGCCAGATTTGTTTGCAACGTTTTACCAAAACTGTTTCCATATTAATTGGTAGATTATTTTGGGAGTCTTTTAAAACTTTGGTATGTTAGAGGACTTGGTAGTTACTCTGCAGGCTCCGGAGTAGCAAGATAGAAGCTGATGGTTTAAAAAAGAAAAAGAAAAAAAAAAAAGGAGACTAATGCGTTCTATTTCTGTGTCGTTGTTTTTCTTTTGCCCCCCCACATCATACTATTTCAAAGGGTTTTGCTGCCTTTCATACATCATTTGGTCAACTTGGCTAGCCTCTGCTGTAAAGCATGACTCAACGTCATTGTCTTTGCAGGGTAAGGATAATTGTGGCAAATCAGTTTGTCGAATGGTATTTTTCTGAATTGGTAGGGCAGATCCCTCATGATTGTTGTCCTAATCAAAGGAAAAGGGTGTCCGTGAGCCCACAATCACATGCTTTGCCGAGGCAGGCATGCATGTCCTCAAAACATTAGTCAATACCCAGATTTTTTTTTTTATATCAGGGATTTTGAAGTGCTTTCTTTCTTCTGTTGCTCATTTTACCAGCTTTGAAATTAAACAAACACCTGCCCACAGCCACCATTTAAATTAAGGGGCAGGCCACAGGTCATGCTGTTGCCATTTTTAAGGAGAAATCATCATAAGAGACCATGCGTTGGTATTTCCACAAACACAAATGTAAAGCTACCTATATGAGATTGGGGTTTTATCTGGATGTCAAGGTTAATTGCAAATTTGCAATCATTTTTCATACCCCGCTGAATTTGAGACATTTAGAAATAGCCAGTGGTTTTATTACTGGCACTCATACTGGTACTAAACATTCCAAAAATAAAGACTGAAAAAGAAAAAAAATTGACTGCAGTGACTCGTAAGTGTGCGCCTATTTCAGATCATGCTGATTGACCTCTTATTTAGAGCAGTTGTCATGAAATGCAGCCCCTTTTTAATAGTTGAAATAGAATTTATGTATATATTTATATTTTTTTAATAAAGGAAGTATAGAACTCACTACCTTGCTCCTGCTGGTATGTTGATTATGTTTGTCAATTTGGTGACCATTCAGTGGGCAGGAACTCCTGTTTTCTTAGTGGCAAAACCTTGCCTTTTGGCAAAGGTACTTGACTACATCAGGACAACACTATGAGGTAGGGTTTGAATCAAACAGGGAAAGCTAGATCTTCAAACCTTAATAATTTTCACAGGGTATATTGTAAGTGCATGTACATCACAAACCTTACTTTTTGGTTATAAGAGAAGCACATGGTTGAAAATAAGGTTCCATCTTTCATAAGCCTGGTCAGTTTGTGGGTAACACACAAACACGTATACTTGTCAACATATCTGAACACCCAACGGAAGTTGAAATCCTCTTATTTAATTTGGATTTATCCTTGTCATTTTTGATTTCACATTTTTTCACTTTTTTTGTACATGCAACATGCACTATAGAATTGAACAGCATGGGGGAAAGGATAAGTCCATGTATCCACAGATTGTAAGATCTAGTCAAGACTTTGCTGTGTTTATGACAATGCCCTTTGTATTATATTAAGACAGTCTTATGTATGATATATAAAAAGAAGTTAATTGAATTCCTCTGTGTGTCTTTATTGTTCTCTATTTAAATTAGGCATTTTCCAAGAAGAGCTCTCTTTTTGGAAATACCAGCTCTAAAGCGTTGCCGTCAATATAACGTCCCTTTACTGATTTTATAGTCATACAGCCGGTAGTTAATGACGTTCTGGCTCGTTGGTCTAGGGGTATGATTCTCGCTTCGGGTGCGAGAGGTCCCGGGTTCAAATCCCGGACGAGCCCTTAACATTTTATTCGGTGAGCGGCTGATATTCTGCTGACGTTTCTTTGCGGCATTTCGAAACAAATGATAAACGGTATTAACACGCCGCTTTCAGTGTTGGTTTTTGGGATACTATTCACCGTGTGTGGCACGCAACATGGAATCTTCACCGAAGTCACCGAGGAAAAACAAAAGCAGAGGGCTCGTCCGGGATTTGAACCCGGGACCTCTCGCACCCTAAGCGAGAATCATACCCCTAGACCAACGAGCCGCCATTAGCCGTCAGTTACATAGCTTTATAAATTCTGTATGAGGTCAACGGTGACTGGGAGGGCGCAACAGTTAACATTGCATTGGTAATGCTAATTACATTGCAAACGATCTAAATGGCTAACATTCACATTACATTTGTATTCATTAATTTATGTATTCTACATTTGCACTATAGCTTGCACCCTGAATACGATCGGCAAACCCTTTTAGCTCGCTGACGTTAGCGAGCGTTAGCGCCTCGTAGTTGCCTTTGCTACCCAGCGGAAGGCAGCAGAGCACCTACAAGAGTTCGTTACAGTCACGTCTCTTAATCGGCCAATAGAAATGGGGCTCGGGCGACCAACAGTTGCGTCGTAGTGTTTGGTTCTGGCCAATCAGGTGCGTTGTGGGTGGGACATCGCAAACCTTTGTGACTGTTGTGATAGTGATCGTGAATAAAGTCGGAGCCGATCGATTGCAATGTAACGTTAAACGCCTATCGCACAGTATTTCCTGCCATACTTCTTCTGCTCTGTTTGCGTCAGAACTCAAACAACTTGTGTGCGCGCGAGTCTCTAAACCTTAGAGCTAAAGTTAGCAAATGATAACAGTTAGCTAAGCTAACAACCTAGCTTGAAGCATGCCGAATTTTTGCGCGGCACCAAACTGTACGCGGAAGAGCACACAGTCCGATTTGGCATTTTTTCGGTTCCCGCGGGACCCAGAGAGGTAAGACATTATTTTATTATTCTATCAACATAGTTAGGCAGTTCTCCGTTTAGAACTCGTTGTGTTTGCATGTGGAGTCCTCCCATTTTCTATATATATAATGTTATATATTGATATATATTTCAACCTACCGTTCATGTTAACATGTGAAATGATGATTTACTGAAATTTAGAGGTAAATATCGATGTTTCTATTTGGTTACTTCACGTCACCCCGGCGTCTCTACAACGTGCAAACTGCACAGAAACAACAGACACTAATTTGTGTTTCTTAGTGCTTATTTTAGCTGTCTGTCAACACCACACTCAACGTGTTTCAAAGTTTAGTGAGTATGGTTTTCATTGACAATGCACTCATCCCAAATGTCTATTCCAGAAGCTGTTACAAGTATTTACAAGCCTGGTTGCTGTCTCAGTTCACTGTTTATAGCTCGTTTATGTCTGTTTTTTTAATGTCATTTCTAGATGTCGCATCTGGGTGGAGAACTGCCGCAGAGCAGACCTGGAAGCTAAAACATCGGACCAGTTGAACAAGCACTACAGACTGTGTGCCAAACACTTTGATCCAGCGATGGTGTGCAAAACGGTGAGTATCTCACGTCATTCTAAAGTTGTTTCTCTTTTTTTTTTTTTTTAACGTGTCTCCCGAATTGGACTCATTTTAATTCATTGCTTTTCAGAGCCCCTACAGGACGGTGTTGAAGGATACAGCCATTCCGACCATTTTCGATCTGACAAGCCATCTGAGAAATCCTCATACCAGACACCGCAAGCGGATTAAAGAACTTGTAAGAACAATCTGTATTAGTTGTGTGGTTTGAAATGCCCATGTTAACATCAGTACTTGGACTGATTGTTGGTTGACATTTGTGAACTAATACGGTTTCTCATTTCAGACTGAAGAAGATTTGAGGAAGATTAAAGAAAGGCGATGTAAGTATTTTTGAAATTCATTTTCTTCCAGTAAAATTAAATAATGAATTGTTCGTTTAATTCAGTATTTACTGGAAAATGATCCCCCGTCTCTTATTGTTTGTCTCTCCTCGCAGTGGCGTCTTCTGTTGAACAGCTTGCTGCCAAAAAAGATGCAACAACCGAGGACAGCACAGGCGCCGCCGAGGATGAACCCCAACTGTCCACAGAGGGAAAAGAGTTTCGTGAATACCTGCGGTCGCTGTTTGAGGTTGTGGTCATGTTGGGAAAACAGAGCATCCCATTGGCGGCTGGCAAAGCATCAGAAGCCGAATACATGTCCAACAACTTCCAGGCCCTTCTTGATTACCGCATGAACGCTGGTGACGAAGCACTGAAAAGGAGATTTCACGCCACGGCTGTGAACACCGAGTACGTCTCTGCAACCCAGCAGAACCAGCTGTTGGACATCTGTGAGAACACGGTGAGGGAGGAGATGCTAATGGAGGTGAGAGAGAGCCGCTTCTTCTCCCTCGTCACAGGTGACCTCGTTGAATTTGCCGACGAGAAGCACCTGCCTTTGTTTTTACACTTTGTGAATCAGCACAACGTCCTCAGAGAAGAGTTTTTAGACTTCATGTCTTTTGACGGGGATGAGTGTGCCCTGGTAGAGAGGCTGGAGGCCCAGCTGACCGACCGCTGGGGGCTCAGCATGGAGGACTGCCGCGGTCAGGCCCACAAGGCCACCGGGACCTCCACCACCAAGATGAAGGCCGTGGCCGTGCTACTGATGGAAAAGTATCCTCTGGCGCTGCACATGCCGTCCTCTCAAATGGCGCTCAACGTGCACCTGGCCAACAGTCTGCCTTTTCCCAACGTCCAAGTGGTCATGGAGACCCTGAGAAGGATCGGCGCTTTCTTCAGAACCCCGCTCACGCAGGATGAACTCGAAAAGGCGATCTCGACTCACTACCAGAAGAACGAGGAGAAAGGATCTTCGCTGAAACAAGCCTGCGCCTCAGGCTGGACGGAACTGCACAACGTTTTTGACGTGCTGCTGGACATGTTGCCGCCCCTGCTGCTGTGCATGGACAGCATCCGGGACAACGGCGATGGAAACTTTGCCGACGCGGTTACAGCGGACGCGTACTCGCTCACAGAAACGCTGTCCGACTTTGAGATCGTCGTCACCGTCGTCATCTTGAAGAACGTTCTCACGTTCACCAGAGCCTTCGGCCGGAATCTCCAGGGTGAAACGCTGGATGTGTTCTTCGCTGCCAACAGCCTAACTGCTGTCCTCCATTCGCTGAATGAGGTCAACGACAACGTCGATGTCTACCACGAGTTCTGGTACGAGGAGGCTGTGAGTGTGGCCAATGTAATGGAGATTCCCGTGACGGTGCCGAGGTTGTTTCTAAGGAAACAGCGTGCAGCCGATGTGGGTGAAATCCAAATCGAGGCCTATTTTAAGGAGTATGTGACCGTCCCCGTTATCCGCGGCATCATGCAGGAGGTGGAGGACATGTTCTCCGAGACCAACCTCAAAGCCCTCAAGTGCCTGTCGCTGGTCCCAGCCGTCATGGGGCAGATGAAGTTCAACACCACCGAGGAGAACTACGCCGACGTGTACCGCGGCGACCTCCCCAGCCCCGACACGCTTCTGGCAGAGCTGCACTGCTGGAGGATCAAGTGGAAGCACAGAGGCAAAGAGGTGCGCCTGCCCACCACCATCCACGAAACCCTCCAGCTGCCGGACGTCAAGTTCTTTCCCAACGTGAACGCTTTCCTCAAGGTGCTCTCCGCCCTGCCAGTGCTGAAACTAGAGGACAGCAGAAGTGACAAGGCGAGCCGACGGCTGCAGGCCCATCTGGACGGCGTGCCCGTCAAGCGCTGGATCAAAAGTCTGGCGATGCTCAACGTCAACACTCACGTCAAACACGACTTGGACGTCATGGTCGACAAATATTGCCGACTCTATTCAGAGGAAGACCCTGAAGCTGATTCTGAGGAAGTGGCTGATGCTGAAGCAGAAGCTGAGTCTGAGGAAGGGGCAAAGGCAGATGCCGAGTCTGAGGACGGGGCAAAGGCAGATGCCGAGTCTGAGGACGGGGCAAAGGCAGATGCCGAGTCTGAGGAAGGGGCAAAGACAGATGCTAAATCTGAGGAAGGGGCAAAGGCAGATGCTAAATCTGAGGAAGGGGCAAAGGCAGATGCCGAGTCTGGGGAAGGGGCAAAGGCACATGCCGAGTCTGGGGAAGGGGCAAAGGCACATGCCGAGTCTGGGGAAGGGGCAAAGGCAGATGCCGAGTCTGAGGAAGGGGCAAAGGCACATGCCGAGTCTGAGGACGGGGCAAAGGCAAAAGCTGCCATGAAATGATTTGACACTGGCTCTGAGCTCACGCAAAACGTTTTGGGGACAAAAATAAAGTAAGCGGATTGGCTGCGAGTCATAAACATCTTTATTTGGTCGCTCATTTATGTTTTAGTGTATGTGCACATGGATAAAAGAACTAATTCCGTTAAGAGGTGATCGATTCCATTTGTTCAGTCCCTGATGTTTTCCAGAAAAAAATGAAATGATTCTCTTGATGATGATGTTCTTCTATGTAGTAAAAAAATGTAAATATGTAATCAAATGTGTTCAGAAGAAACCACAATAAACTGCTCATTTACTGTTTGCTTGTCTGTATTCTAGGCCTTTGATCAACAAGATGAACACAGTGACTTTGTTGCTGCACATTGACTATGCGGCCGAATGCGCACCAGAGGGAGCAGTTGCACCAATATCAGCATTCTCTATTGCAAGCCTTTGTTTTTGTTAGTCTGACATTCTGGATATAAAGGCCAGTATGTTGAACGTCCACCTTTTTAAAGGTTATCTTTAGCTTGAAGTCTTATGCCACATGAAGTAGTTATTAAAATGTCATATTTTACATATCTTCCAAAATGTATTTTCTGTTGGATTGAATAACAAAACAAATTTGGGAGTTAAATTAAGGCACTGATTCAGCTTTATGTAAATATTTCCTCTCTTCAGTTGTTTGCATACCTCATTTTAGGATCCCTCTGCTCACTGCCTGAAACCTAAAGTATAAAACCCCGCCGTTTAATAAACGACCAATTAAACCACTCTGTCTTTTCATCGAAGAACAACAACACGTTACTTGCGCATCCTCGTGTCGTTGTAAATCGGGTGCTTCCCGACGCGTCCTCCCCGCGCGCTCGGACGCGTCTCCTCCCTCCGTGCCGGCCGCGCGCTGACGAGCGCAGGTTCACCGTGCGTCCTCACACCGCGGCCGTCTCCACGCGTCGCACCGGTGTGGGTGGGGTCCCTTTTGATGCGCAGCGACACGGCAAAGTACACGTCCACAAGTCCATTCAAACTTCGCCCAGAACCAGCCTGGCTGCGGGAGGATCGGGAGAGAGAGAGGCGTCGGGGCTCTGCGTTCTGTGGTCTCGGGTAAACATCGACAAGAGCGCATATAATTACATCAAGCTGCGCGGTGGAATAACCCTGACTGCTCAGGAACTAGGTGGAGGTGTGTGCAGGGTGGGTGACCGGGCGTTTGTTCCTTTACGCGCAATCCGACATCTAGAGTGCGTTGCCCCTGCGCATCTTTTTTATCTCGCCCAGGCTCGATAGTACTCGACCGTCATGGCATGGCCTTGTCTCACGCGCGCTTGCTGCATCAACCGCTATTGGACGGAGCTGGACAAAGCGGACGTCGCGGTGCCGTTGGTTTTCGGCAAATACTCGGATGCGGCCGACGCGCAGCATCTTCCCCATCACCCGCAGCCGAGACACAAGAGGGCCGGGGCGATTGCCATAGAAACCCAGCCCCATCGCGCCGAGCAGGGGCCCGGGAAGGCACCGCCCGCGACGGCTGCCGCAGCGGGCAAAGATGGCTCCGCGGCGTCCGTCATGCGCCAAGACTTCAAGGCGTGGAGTGTGCGCCCCGAGCCGAGCTGCAAACCCCGGAATGAGTACCAGCGCTCGGCCGCCCCGTTCAACACCGAAACGCAGTATCAGAAGGACTACAAGCCGTGGCCTATACCGAAGAAGCGCGATCACCCTTGGATACCCAGACCCGGCCCCGCCGCCTCCGGCGGGCCGGACCGCAGCGCAGGGAGCGGAAAGCTGGATCCCGAGGCCGAGAGCGGCGTGGAGAAGAGCGAGATCGAGGAGAAAACGCAGGAGAAAGAGTCAACCGAGGCGGCGAAGACGAGCGCGAAGAGGGAAAAGTCCGCCGAGAGGGAAACGGGCGAGAAGACGGACAGTCAGGCGCCCGCGGGTGTGAGCGCCGAGCAGAGGAAAGGCAGGGCGGCCGCAGACGCGCTGAACAGGCAGATCAAGCAGGTCATGTCCACTTCTAGCAGCTATAGGTGAGTTTATTCCTCCTCAGCCCATCGCGATTAAGAAGCCTTTGCTTCGGCCTTTTCAGAACGAGTTTGCAGACATTTTCTCTCGGCTTTCAACACAGAGCTCCATCAGAGTATCCATTAGTACGCAATATTTTAAATGGTTTTTCAACAAAATCACACCAAAATCTTCAGTAATCAAACATTTGGAGAATATTTTGTCGAAAGTCTATTTGTTACTGCGTGATATCTTGTTACAATGCCCAGAGATGAGCAAACTGATACAGAAAAAGGTTGCATCATTGATTTTTCTCCTGCTCCATCCCTGCTAACAATATATCGATAGCCCAATGAATGAGACGGTCCAGTAAAAGGGTCTGAATGTAATCATGTGTCTTAACTGGTTTCTGCAGGCTGCCTCTGAATTGAATTATTGATAAATGGTGCACGTAAGTTAACACGACTTGATGACTTCATTTCTGTCCTCTCAGAAATATTAAACTTACACAAGTCCTTCAATGTTATGCTTATTATCTAAAAGTATTATTCTGAATGAACTGGAATGACCAATAGACCTTGTGTGCCAGTTATTACAGCTGTTAGGATGTGCTTTGTGAGCCGTAAACAGAAGTGAATCTAATTACAAAGTACACGATCGGAAGGCCAAGATGAGGCCACATGGCAGTTATCTTTGAACTATAGAATTACTTATGTTTTGATTAAAACAGGCTTTCCTGTTTGCAACAGCCAATTAAAAATATTTTCTTAGTCACTGAATTGGAAACAGCTTCGATTTCTCCAGATTAAATATATATATATATAGATTGTGAACACAATTGAACACAATTACTTGTTGTAGTCCATGTGTTTAAATTATGTCAATACGCCTGAGTTATCATGAACGTGAGCTATTATAAATGCTTGTGCCAATCTTATATAAAACCAATCTAATTAAGTCCTGCTTGGAAAACAGTGTATGTCATTTAATTCATATTGTTGCCTGAGGTGATTCTTGTCATTTAACACACACAATCTGCATTGTTTATGATATGCAAACACAACCATACCCAGCTAAATACTGATTAAGCTCTTTAGTTAGCTTGGCCAGTCAATTGGGACTTGCTAAAACTCTGTAGGTAACCAATGTTCATTTTAAACAATTCCAGCTATTGTGGATAGTCGATAGTGGAAACCTCTTTTCTTGCTTTTTTCCCCCTGCAGGACTGAGTTCAAGGCCTATAAGGATGTGAAACTAGTGAAGGCCATTAAAGCTCCAGATCAGTACAAACCCCCAGTGAAGGAGGCCAGTTTGGAAACCAGCTACAGCGCCACATACAAGGGGGAGCAGATGAAAGCTCAACCCACCGACAACAAGCTGGTGGAGCGCAGGCGGATACGCAGCCTGTACAGTGAGCCGGGCAAGGAAGCCGCCAAGGTGAGCGGATGCCCTCCCACGGATCCACCGATGGAGGTTTCCATCTGTCGAATACAGTTCCCATTTTTCTGTTACGGGTTTCCTTTAAGTTTACTCAATTCTAGTAATTTCTTAAATTCTGTAAGCCGTGCTACACCAGATGATTTAGTACTTTGGGATTAAGTTTGACTTTCTCTGTTCACTGAGTTCAACTGGATGATTAGTTCCCAGACGTATTATATGTAAAGAAAACCTTTTCATATTTCCATTTTAAGATGTTTTAGATCAAATAAAGCAGTTCTCGTTGTGATATTATTCCATCACGCATATACCATAAATCCTTCAGTGAAAAGTTAGCAAATAGCAAGTCTGTAACCTTTGAACCAAATAAACATCAAACCGACACCAGCAATGGGTCATTTATAATTGACATCTACATATATAATATCCAATCTTTGGGTTATAGTAGAATTAACATAGATTAGTATATTGGTGGATGTTATCGACAGTTCAGACGACAATTGGTTACTAATGTGTCCATAGTGTGTTTAAAGATGGCCACTCCCTCTCTCATTTTTGTAGGACGTCTCAGAGACTGAGAGCAGCTCTGTTCTAAACCTGCTGTAGCCAGGTGTGTTCACTGTTTCTTCCCAAAGGCATGGAGGCCGACCTCAAATTGATCCGACGCCATCATGCAGACAGGACACACATACGCACACTGTGTGCGCCTCGACCTTGCAAAAAAAAGCTATCAGCCACATCTTCACCGTTTGCCCACCTCTCAGGCAGCACCACCCACAACCCCTTTATTAAGCCACCGAGGTTTTTTGAAAAAGGTTGCATTTGCATTGCATAAATTGAAGAAACCTAAGTAGCTGAGATGATATTTCAAAGTGACACAAGAGAATCGAAACAAAAGAGATGGAACAATTGCATCAGTGCAGGCCGATAAGACAAGAATCTCAGTGATTTAAATGAGTTGTATACATTAAAAAGGATCTACGCTGTTAGCGTCTCTATTTTGGTGACAATATATGGTGTAAATTTCGGAAAGTTAACACACACAATTTGCTCTGCATGCAGGTGGAAAGAGGCCCAGCAGGGTGTGTGACAATGGCACCAAGCATTGGTAACACTAGTTTGCAGATGATGTTATCGTATTGGTGATGATGTCTGCAGGTCATTATGATGCATCAAAGACGTTTGGTCCACAGCATCAAGGATGTGTGGTGAAAAGGAATTAATATGTTTAATATAATTTGGACTGTACTTTAAAAAAGCACCAAGGCGCAAAGTACACCGAAAGAGTTTTTTGGCAATGAACAACTCATTCCCCCACACCCGATAACACACTGTTTCCACCACGAGTAATGTGTCTGTGGCACCTCTGCACCTGAGCCCTTATTTCCCAGAAACAGAACCCTTCACTTTAACTTTCAGAAACACACAAACATTTGTCGTCTCTTACCAGTTTTTAAGTTTTCTTTATTCAGGTTGAGCATGTCACCTCTTCGCTGCACACCGACTCATTTATACAAATTGATCTGGGACCTTATTCGTGAGTTTTCATTGTTGTGGCAACACAACAATAACAGAGGGAAGCTACGTGCCTTGCTCAATTTCCCCAGTTGTTATGGGAATGTGAACCAGCGATCTTCCAGTTACACGCCAGCTTCTTAAGCATCACGGTCTCGTTGCCACTTTGAATGGTCAAATTTTGAAAAATTAGTTTCTTTAACGCGCTAAACTAACATCATACTAATATAAACCATCGACATTGTATGTTATGGTTTCTTTAAAGCCTTGAATAAAAAACTGCACGAACACTGTTCTGTAAAAGGAACAGCACAAATACACCTTTTTGTGCTGTTTCTTTTTTCCTCTATTCTCATTGCACCAACCACACAATGCAAAAATCAATGGTCCAATCTGCTGTCATTTGCCTGTCTATATATTAGGTAACAAGGTTTAAAAGGGTACGTATTGCATGCTAAAATATGACTTCATCATACTCTTTATTCTCCATTTTTTAAGCAATCATTTTAAGGAACAGTTTGAGGTTTTTGGCAATGCGCTTATTGGATTTTTTGCCAGGAGTTAGTCAAGAACATCGATGCTGCTCTCTTCTTCCTGTCCTGCTGTCATGGGAACTCCAAGAATTTCCCCGTCCCTGTCCCCGGCCAGGAAATAGTCACGGACATAATATCCCAATAACCTTGTATTAAACCCGGCTGTCTGTTTCCCCATTTCCACTTTTTTTGCCAAGCTAAGTTAATTGTCTGGCTGTAGCTTCATAATGGACAGCATTGAGAATAGCATCAATTTCCTCTTTAAACTCTTGGCAAGAGAGCGATTAAATGCCTTTCCCAAAATGTCAAACCATTGCACTCACACCAGTTGAAGTTTTCCACCAGGCTAATTTTGTCTTTGCTCAGGATTTTCCCCCCTTTCTTCTCTTTCAGGTGGATAAACCTGTTTCTCGCACCAAACAAAAAAAGACGCCAACAACAACAACTGGGAAAATGGTGAAAAAATCCAAGGAGAAGCAGATTGCTAGTTCCCAGTCAGCCAAGAAGAAACCGTCCTCTTGTGCCCCGAAGCCCAAACCAGATGGAGCCGTCACAAAGAAAAGCAAAGAGATCAGCAATAGACTGGCTGAATCAAAGCAGTAAAAGTAGTACTCAAAACCTTTTTCCATCATCGTGATCAAAGGCAATCTTGACAAATTTGGCAAATTTCTTCTGTCTGGTTTATTTCTCTTCCTGTTTTTGCCGGCCTGTCATATATTGTTGACCTTCTAATGGGCACTGGTGTCAAGCTTTTAGAATAATGCAAATAATTGTGTGAGAGCGTGCGTGTAAGTGTGTGATTGTTTGTTTTTTGGTGCACAGAACCGCTTTATATTGTTGAGCACATAATTTGCACATTATTTATATGAGTTCTGTTTAACATTGAACTATTAAAAAGAGCTATTGGTACACATAAGTGTGAATGGACATTTATATCTTTCTCGGAATGACAATTGAGAGGAATATAAAGATTGTATGAAATCTCAAATGGATGCTTATTCTTCCAGACTGTATCACACAGGAGGTTTTGTAAGAGTACAAAATCTGTTTTATAGTTGCGTTTGCTAGTTACAGTGCCTCTGCTGTATGGTCCTGGTTTTCATTTCATTGTCCTGGATGATAACTGGTTTTATCAGTTTGGTTGCTAAGAAACCAAATTAACTGTAATATAATTGCTACAGCTTGCATGCAGTTTTTCAGTCGAGTAGGAACATTTTAGCAGACGTAATGTCACATTTTAGCGTGTAAATTGAGCCTTTTAAGATAAATATATAGGGGAAAGACCTTTTGAAATAATGCATGTTTAGTGATAGAATCTGGCCACACTTTAGAAACAAAAATACATACACTAAGTAAAAACACACCACCTGTATAGTGTCACCAACAAACATATTTCTGGCAAATTTGAATGAACATCAACTTCTTCCATTAAATGACATTACTGGAGTTTTTATGACAACTTTTGTGACTACTCCATCCTCTCTGTGCTAAATAAGAAGAAGAAGAAAAAATATGCATTTAGGTCTTAAGGGGGCGAACCTATCGTTACTCAGTAGATGTGTCCTTCTGAATTGGCTGATCTCTCCAGGTGATGAAGGACAAGGAATGTGCCAGGACTCAAAAGTTCAGCTCTTTAAATTGCTGCTGTCTGAAAATACGCAAACATCATCTGTTCTTTCTAAGCATTAAATTAAGTATTTGTACTTAAAGCCACGGTGTGTGAGAGCCTATTTGAGCACTATCACGGAGTGTCTGCTTCCAGTTTTGGCTTCAATGTGTGTGTGTGTGTGTGTGTGTGTGTGTGTGTGTGTGTGTGTGTGTGTGTGAGATGGAGTGAGAGAGTTTTCTGTGTACACCTCTATCGCCTGCTGCCACTAGACGTGCTGCTGAGTCCTCCACCACCCTGGTGCTATACCTCTCATTGTGTATGCTGTCTGGTTTGGATTGTGTGGAGTCGAGCAAGAGACAAATGATGTTATGACGACGTCATACCGCTGCAAACATGTAGTGATATTGTGTTGTACTCTCATCTTGCTCAGAATGAACTCCGATTAAAACAATGACACAAAATCCTGTGTGGTTCAAAACGGTATTCTTTTTTCACAAATATTCTATAATACGTGAAATGTATTCTTAAAACAGTCTTTTTTAATTGGAGAAAAAACATTTGAATGGCAATATTTTGATTTTGATTTGATTTGAAGCATTTTATTTCATGAACATGTAGAAAATTTAAAAATCAACATAGACATAGACCACAAAATTAGAAAAGTCACCTTTTGTTCAAGAAAAGGAGTAGAGGGAAGCAAAAGCTTATAGATACCCACCCCTATCTTATCCATATTCTCAATTAGTATATATTACTTTGAAGATTATTATCATACATACATACACACACTCTCTCACACACACTCTCTCACCCACACACACGCACGCATACTCACACGCACAAATAAATACAATTTAAATTTCCGTCACTGAATATTTTCACAGATCTCATATTTGGCTAATGTGTATAATTTAAGAGGTTTTTTGAACTGTGCAATATGTTTACAATCTTTGATCTTATCTGGTAAGTTGTTCCACAACTTCACCCCACAGACCGATATGCACCTGCTTTTGAGTGTAGAGTGCACCTTTGGTTGCCTCAGTTTCAGTCTCCCTCTTAAATTATAGTCTCCTAGTCTGTCGCTAAACCAACTTTGAATGTTTCCTGAGATTAGGCTGTTTCTTGCTTTAAATACAATCTGTAACGTTTTAAAATCTTTTAAGTAGTGTTTTAATGAGTAGTGTTTGTATCACCCTTTGATTAAGGTATTAGTATTATTTGGCATCTTGATATTTTCTGTGTTCTGTGTACCTTATTCTTAACAATTACAGAAATATCAAGGCATTACTTTGATAGCACAGTGAAATCCCAAGAGAGTTGCATTGCAAAGAATACAAAATTAACTTCCATTCCATTTCCAAAGCACTCAAGCACCAATGCCCTGCAAAACTCAGCCAACATTCAGAATATTTTAAAGCGGGTCTTTCTGTGATGTAATGCCCACAGTGTTTTCTCCTTGTTTCGTTCAGTTCAGGGACTACATTATTATAAGATGCAAACGGTTGTCCTAAAACACAAGATTAAAACATATAAGGTTAAATTGTAAAATATTTGATCCTTTCAGAAAAGCTTAAGATCCTTGTGGTTATTTTCCTGTGAATCAGTCATCCTGACATAAAACTGCATTAATAATTCAGTTAATATGGGCCCTTTGCAGAGCAGTATGAAATATTGAATAGCGCAGTGATGGGACCAGAGCTTTGTCCCCTCTCCAACAAACGTGGCTGGCTGGTACAGTCCTCCCTATAATACTGTATTAGAGAGTATGATTGGGATTTCATACACTTGTTTCACTTGGTAGGAAATGTATACTTTATTATGTGTGTGTGGCCATTGCTGTTGAAGTAGAAACAGCTACTGTCATAAATACCCAATAAATACCCAATATTATATTCAGCCAATTTACAGCACCTTACAGGTTTGAGAGCCTGCTCCAGTATATTCTTTGACCCACAAATTCACATGTAAATGAAATGTGGACCACAAAATGAAAGGTTATTTTGAATGCATGCATTATTGATATCACTGCACAATATTGTGTTACTGCATTAGAGTTGTGTCGACGTCATATCAGCAGACATGCACCCTCATGAAAATATTATATTTATTGGCAGAACATAACAGGCATATTTCGACGCTGACAGTCAGCATATGATGACCTCTGGTGGGCATGATCCCATTTTATTCCAATGTTTTTCACAAAGCATGTTATTAACGGGATACACTGTAAGTTGGCTGCAGGCTAAGTAACTCAGATTTCCCTTTTCTAAGCAACAATATCTTGAAGGTGTCTAGGGTGTCCACCACCTGGATGGAACATGTAACTATCTCTCTCCTCCTGCTTGGCTCTTATCTCTGTTGATATGATGCCCTCTGAATACTTGCAGAGAACCTATCAATACAAACGATTGCAAGGGGTGATGTTGGCTCAAAGAACCTCTGTGTGAGTGGTACATTATAGCATTCAACTTAACAACAAATTATTAGTACGATTGGATTAGGTGTTAATAAATCAATGTAGTGTTACAAATCTGAAAAAATACTAATGGTTGAAGAATTTAACAAACAAAGGCAGAACAAGCTCTACATTTAATTTTTTATTTTTATTTATCTATTTTAACGTCAATGTTGACATTAATAAACATTTTTGTGATAAAGTCAGTTGTTCCTCCTTCACTTTAATTGGCAGTATTCTTCTTCATCTGTTTTGAATAACAAACGAAGAAGACCTACTTCCGTTTTGAGGCTCGAGATGACCGGAAATAAACAAACGCCCACAAGCTGAGAGGAGGGAAGAAGCGTTAGCTCGGATAACAGAGCTGCTCCCACTAATACCCGTAAGAAGCATTTACAAGAAATGGTGTATTGCAAGTGCAGGAAAGTTGTGTGTGTGTTTACAACGTCCACATGTAGCTGTCAGACGGTTTTGTAAAATGATTAAACAATTCTGAAAAACGTTAACTGTTAAGGATTAAGTCCGAGAAAGCATCGTTCGAATATAACGTCACTAACGTAACTTGTCACGTTACATAAATGAACACAGCTCACTGAGATACAAGTAAGAAGAAATTAGTTCGTGACTTATATCGATCACGAGCACGTCTCCGGGATCAAACGAGTGCCAATGTGTGTTGTTTTAACATAATCTTCTCCCTGGAAAAAAGATCAACGTTAACGCTGTCACTTCTCAGCTATCCCGAGCTTACGTCGGTTTACGCGTTTTTACAGTTAGCTAGTTAGCACGTTTTTAAAACCCCAACTAGCTCAAGACCGCTTTGCACTGCGCGCGTGTGACATGGTGCCGTCGCGCGCCGTTAAAACCTCTGTTGTCGTGTTGTTTTCTGTCCAGGCGGTCGGTTATTTGGCAGCTGAGCTCTCGGAGGTCGCCGTCATGATGACAACCAAGAGGCTGGACAACTTTGAGGTGGTGTGCGAGTGGGCTTCGTGCAACTTCAAGGGCCGCACCATGGAGGAGCTGAGCGATCACATGTTTCTGCATCTGAAGGACTACCTGGGAGACAACGACGCCTTGGAGGACCTGGGTGAGTGAGGAGGATGCGCGAGGGGTGAAGCGCTTGCACTTTTACTCACCTGTTACGTTATTTGAAGTCAATCTGGCAAAACAGTCGCTTTAACACTCGTGTAGTCTCATGTAGGACACCTAATTAAGATCCAAACCTGTTTTGGACTAGAGGACAGTAAAGATAAATAGCGTTGTACAGAAGAGACAAACGGATTTCCTCTGGAGGCAACAACCGTTTTCTACCCAGTTTCTCCAACATTTGTGGCACTTTCTCAGTCGACGTTGGTTGGAACTCCGTCTTTTGCTGCTAAGTGGAAATACGCTGACTCAATTGATCTGTTACGATGGAAGCGATGCGTAGACACTGGTTGACAGTGACGCGTCTTTCATTTTAGGGGACAACTATAAAGCAGCTAGTCGGAAGTCATTTACCGACCACACTGACATCACTTATTTTAGGTTTGTTAAACAGATCAGTTGAGATGTTTAGTTGTTTGCTCAGCGATACCGTGTGTGCATTGTGTAGTAACCTTCTCACTCCCTCTCTTTGTTTAGATGAGTATGCTTGTCTCTGGAATGGATGTGTATTCCTTTCCATGGGTAGCCCCGCGGAGCTGGAGGTCCATGCGTACTTCCACAACTACCACGGTAAGCTCAAGTTTGTCGGGTCACAGCTGCTCAAGTCCCGTCCTGATCTGCCCAGCTGCAACCAAGGCTTGCACAGCAACAACCTGGTTCCGGAGGGATCAGATGGATACGTTTGCCAGTGGGAGCATTGTGATGTAGGTACTTTTTTAGATATTACTGTTCATCAAATAGACATCAAATGACTGATTGCACCCCTATTACAGAATTTATATTTTGTGTCTAGAGCACATTTAACAATCCTGAGTGGTTCTACCGACATGTGGACAATCATGTTGAAAGCGCCGAGCCGCAGTCCCTCCCGCAACAATTGCAGGCTCTCTTCTGCCACTGGACAGGTACGACTGAGCGAGAGGAGGTCAAAGAATTGCTCCTGGTACGTCGAACTTCATGTCGAACCGTAACTATGCGCCATGTTTCTATCGCAGGCTGTGATGCTTTCTTTAAAATCAAATACCGCTTAAGGGAGCACATGCGGAGTCACACTCAGGAGAGACTTGTCGCCTGTCCCACATGTGGCAGCATGTTCTCCAGCAACACAAAGCTGTTCGACCACTTGCACAGACAGGCCGAGCCAGTAGGTGAGAAGGACTCTTCCCTTTCTCGGGTGCTGATAGCGCTGAATGTGTTGACTACAATGGTGATGTCTGTATATTTTCTTCTCTTATTTGAGCAGAGTCGCTGGTATGTGAACATTGTGGCAAAGCTTTTTCCAGCGAGAGGCTTTTGAGGGATCATGTGCGTCAGCATGGTAACCATTTCTTATGCAATTCTTTTCTTAACTTGTTGTTACATTGTTCACATTTTCAAGAAATGTTTCGGTCAGATCAAAGTGGGCTCGGCTACATCCTTTTTGTCAATCATTATTTGAAATAGTTTGTTATAAGAAATTGTCTGGATCCGATTTTTATAACTGTTTACCTAATTGTATTTAAATATTCAGTGTGTTTTATCACTAACTTAGTGATAAGTAAGGTAAGGTAAGGTAAGGCTTAGTAGAAATTTGATTAAGTTCCAGCTTGAATTAAATTGACAAACATCAATTTACTAAAATCAAATATTTTTAATTGTAACACATGCATGCCTTACATGCCATTTCCTAAAAATGCCTCTGTTCTTGGATTGATTAGAGAAAATTAAATAGTGTGAATATAATTTCCAGTTAAGAAGATGCATGCGACACCGTCGGTGTTGCTGATGAACCATTTGGTAGGTATTATATGTCATTCCTGCTTGTTCTTGTGTTCTCAGTGAATCAGGTAAAGTGTCCCTTCTGTGACATGACGTGCACCACTTTGGCAGCTTTGAAGATCCACATCAGGTTCCGCCACTGTGATGAGCGGCCATTCCCGTGCGACTTCTGTGACAAGAGGTGGACCCACAAGATAGCGGATAATGTTTTGGGTTTATTATCATCATCCTTATTATTATTATTATTATTACTGCTATCATTATTCATTTATTTGCATTTCTCTCACAGATTCAAGAACCAGCCCGATCTACAAAAGCACACCGAGGTTCACAATGAGGGCGCGGTGTACCACTGCACGGTGGAGGGCTGTGCCTATTCCTGTCACACAATCCAGACCATGAGCCAACACTACAAAAGAGTACACGAGGTTCGTCCCATCATCGACCCGCCGTAGCCACGGAGGAGGCTTTGATGCTTTGCTGTTAACGTCGTTACATAATATCTGCCAACAGGTCGGGGGGATGTCCAAATATAAATGCCACATCTGTGATAAAGTCTTCTCGTGGTGTTACACTCTCACACTTCACCTTCGCAAGAAGCATGAGCTGAAATGGCCTTCTGGACATTCCCGCTTCAGGTGAGTCCCCACTGCTAATTATCTCTGTGAAACCACTGGTTAGACGCTCTGTACTTCTCACGCTTCTGCGGTGCATCAGATGTTATTCAAGTAACTTATGAGTAAAGGATGAAATCAGAAATCAGACTACAAAATATATTTATATATGCTGGTTCGATGTCCTTCCTTCACAGATACAGAAAGGATGTCGACGGCTTCCTCAAAGTAAACATGGTGCGGTTTGAGACGGTGGAAGTGACCAAGGAGATCATGAAGAACATGGCCAAAAAGCCGCAGAGCCTGCGGAAGAGTCAGAGAACCAGCATGCGGAACAAGAAGGCCGCCGCGACGCCGGAGAGCGGCCGAAGCTCTCCCGCGGGATCCTCCTCGCCCTCCTCCAGCTCCTCCTCCTCGTGTTCCTCGGAGCTGTCCGGAGGCGAGGACGCTTCGTCTCAGCCCAGCCCCAGAGGCAGTGACTCGCCCGTCTACTGTGTCATGAGCACCATCCCCCACATTGAGGAGGAGCCGGGAGGATCATCTCAGGAGGACTGTGATGGCGGCGGGACATCAGGAGCAGTGCAGGCCCTGACGGAGGTTGCGAGGGGCCTGGGCATGGACGTGGTGTGATTCCATCCATCACAGGAACTATTTCAGCTGGCTTGCAATGACATTGGTTTGCTTCTTCTGGTTTATTTTGCTGTGAAGCTGCCAGTGGAGACTGGAACCTTTTTAAAATCAGCTTTGCGTTCTTTGGTGTTTTTTGGAGGGCTGTGACATTGAAATGGTTGTGTTTGCACTGGTTTTGGAGACCATACTTATGTTATAGCATCTCCTGTCTATGGGGTTCCCTGTCAATGTTTATGATGAAGCTTTCATGAAAGAGATGATTTGGGAGTCATTAATGTGCTTTATTATATTATTTGATATTTTCTTGGTGTAGCTTGACATGGTAATTTATACAACATAATTGTTAAAAGTTGTTTTGGAATTTTGCGTAATTTCATTGCTACAAACATTCAATATAATTAAAATAATTTTAATTTAATAATTTTTTCTTTCAGTCAAATTACAAGAAAATGATGTAAAATTTCATTCCTAGCGTTCTTTATTAAGAATATATTTGTCTAATTAAAAGTGTTCTAGTCCATTATACTTTGTTAACCCTTCTTCAGTGTGGAGCTCCACCGTCGATATGCACGGCCCGGAGGAACCGTTGAGCTCTGCTCTACTGCTGAAGACTCAAGGCTCCAGGTAAGAGGACGCCAGATAGCCAGCACGGTGGAGATGAAAGTTCTCCTGCCCCGAGTGGAGGAACTCCCTCCCTGCGAGGTACACCGGCTCCTGCTGCCTCAACGCAAGAGGGAAATACAGAGGCCTAAAAAAAGCTTCCTTCTGCCTCGTGGCTGTGAGGAGTGTCCTGATCGCTTTGCAGGTATTCAATGAATAGTCTTTTTGGACGTTTTGTCCGCGGTGCAGGTCCATCCTCTGGGGAATGTCCCACATCGGCTCCCATGAAGCAGTTTGGTAAAGATGCATTTGAGCTCCTGGATAAGGCGCGAGTCCCCCAGGAGGTCTGCTCATTTTACATCTACTGCTGTCAGAGTAAAAGGCAGACACATCTGGCCTGGCAGGTGCAGATGGACGCGCGTGAGTCGCACCGAACGGGGACGGATCCGTGTTCGATTTCCTTGAGGAGTCAAATCGGTCATCTGCGGCTTCCCGCCTCACCATCTTCACTGAACCGGAGCCGTCACACTCGCGCTTCCTTTTCCTGTCGCGTGAGCCGCCGTGTCTGTCATCGGGTTCAGGAGTCGTCGATCGAGCCCGAGATTTGTCCCCGGGAGTTAAATCCTTTGTTGTTTCGACTTGTTGACCCCCACGTTTCTCCTCTCCATCAAGCTTCTCTTTCCAGTGGAGGTTCGGGGGATTTTCTCGCTTCTCCCTCTTGGTCAGATGGATGTGGCGAGATGAAGATGTGTGAAGGTCAGAGAGAGAACCTTTGTTGAAGCGGCTTGAATGTTCTGCTGGTTGTACTTTTTCATTCCTGTCGGCGGTCCGTTCATATCGAAAGCCTAAAAAAAATAAGAAGCAGATCAGGTTTAACAATATGACAAACACACACACACACACACACTGTTGGTAATGGTTTGCCTCCACATAACTCACCGGTCTTGGGGTTTATGGCGGATTCGTCGGGTTGAACCGGGCCAAGTGGACCAGTTGCAAGATACTCCGGTGTCAGTTCTGGATGGAGGCTGTTGGGTTTTTGCTGAACCTTCTGTGTGCGCAGCGTAAGTTGTGGAATGACACACAACAGTATTAAAGCCACAGTTTATCACAACAAAAACATTTCAGTTTAATCTTGTCTGTCAAGTGAAAACCTAATGTGGAAATATGAAGAATAATTTAATGGTTTTCTTTTTCTTATTTATTCCAGACACACATAGACACTCAGACTTTCGTGCAGCTCTTACTTGGAGTTGTTTGTGATAGTAAATCCTCCAGGCGATGCCGACGTGCAGCGCGCTCCATCGCACTCGTTTCTGGAACAGAAGCGACACCAATCAGCAACAAACCGAACTCACCGCCCAGCCGACCGCGCGCGGCTCTGACGGCGGCGCGTCGGACTCACCGTTGAGCTGAAGGGCTTCTGCGTGGCTTTGTGGAACCCCGTGACGGGGGCGAAGGAGACCCTCGCTGCCGCGCCGGGACGCCGCCTGTCGGGCTGAAGCGAGACGCGGAACAGAACGACCCGACGATTATTCCCGGAGGAAAGTCCGGTGAAAAGGTTCAGACTTGGATTTGGCTTCCGGTTGGAATTGGTAAAGTTGGGAATAATACATATAAAAAAACAAAAAGCTAGCATGCGGTTAACAACAGAGTATAGTTACGTCAGTGGCCCGTGCGGCCGGCGCACCGGGCGGCACGAGGAGCGGGGAGAAGGCGCGTGGCCGCGTGGGCCGCTGCATGGCGAGATGATGCTGTGAAGTTCACTGTCGACACGAGAGGAAGTGTTGCTCGGTTCCCAAACAGGAAGGATGATGAACTCCAGAGCACACTAGTGGAGCCATATTATTGTTATTATTATTATTACCACACTGTACATTTGTCTACTATTAAGGTTGCCCAAAGTTTGCACCGTGAACCCACGAACATCCACATTGATCATCCCATTGATTTCCAAAATCAAATTGATGGTTAAAAAAATGAACAGCATGAATCAATTAAAAATAGCTTTTTTTGTACAAACAATTTAACATTAAGAATTGCTTTTAATAAACCTTTCCAACCATTTGCTTTGCACTGTGCCGGTAGCTTGTTAGACTGCATTAAAGACCGTAATCCAATTGAGCGGACCAGTGTACCGATCCATTTAATGCATTTAAGAGGCCATCCCTTCCAAGGACACGTGATTAGTAATGCTGTTAGTGAGAACTGTGATATGTTGTGTATTTGGGTTGAATATAAACTGGAAAAGGGACTGAAGTATGAATTCACCCACTAGTACCAATCCAACGAACCGATCCCTCCGTCCTCACGAAGACAAGATTAGCTGGAGGTTCCACATCTTGTCTAAGTTTCATGCATGTCAGCGGGCCATAGAAATCTCTTAATCTCATAAAGGAGCTCTTTGTTAGCAGTGCAAACAGAGCGAACGAGGCATCACAGGCAGCTCGCCGTGTCATTCAACACAAAGCAACTGTAATACTTTAAAACCTCCTGAGATACAATGATGCCTTTTTTTCCAATATCAATAGTTTTAGGGTACAAGAAGTTTACAGATTAATGAATTTAACACACAAAGGATCAAAACACTTCCTAAATAGATCAAAGTTTCAGCAATAAATAAATGAGGAAATTTATCTGCAACGATTATTTGGTATTATTATTATTAACACTTTTGTCAAATTTGTAAAAAGTAACTGGATCCAGCTTCTCAAATGTGAATGTGTTTTGTTGTTTCTTTATGTTGTAGAACTGAAAACGTCACCTACGTTACGGTGAAGTAGCACTGTAAATAAAGCCGCTGGATTGTTTAATTTTTGATGAAAAAATGTGTTCCTGAAACTATACAGACAACAACAAAAAGTCATGAATGTTTTTTTAATTAACATAATATCAAAGGGCAGACGGTATATCGGATGATTGGCAGACGTAATTCAAAGCCAGACATTTGACCCGTCACAGGTTGCATCAGTTCTTTCTTACCTGTTTGATGCAGCGAGGTGGAAAAAAAAACTCCTTCCTGATGTTTGAGGGTTATTACAGAGTGAATACTAACCAGCGCCTGTTTACCAACCAAAAAGGTCAAGCGATAAATACTTTTCTATGTGTCCATTTCAAATATCAGCCACACTAACAGAAAAATTCTATCTATTGTTTTTTTGTCCTTTTGCAGACGCTGAAAACAAGTCCAACTGCGCCGGGCCGCAGGTTGCTGTGAGGCTGCACCTCGGTCCATCACTCAGTGTTACTTAACAACACCAGGAAAGACCATTAACTACTCCTAATGGCTTAAAGTAATCGCATCAGCCCTCTGAACCCTTCTGATTCACTTTGGGACTTTGGGAGTTTTCAAGTGGAGACACAATCTGACATAGAAATAAGTTGATAAACAAACGTTGGACATGTGAGGAATGTGTGTGTGCAATTTTGTCTGAATATCTAAATATGTAAGTCAAAAAGCATCAAACGCCAACTCAAAAATAATGTATTTTCTAAAATCTTTACATGTTTTTAAGTGTAAAATAATCTCAGCACAACATACTTAAAACCTGGTTCAAACTCCTATGTATCATGAAGTTGTGACGCAGCTGATTTTTTTTTAATATATATATATAATGACAATACATTTAATTTGAATTGGACTTTCATAGCTTACTCAATGCACACAGCCTTGTCACAAGCTACAGAACACTTAAATTAGTGAATGCAATGTCCCTTTGCTTTTTACAAATAAGGAACAGGTTGATAAAATATGAATAGTTACGTAAATAAGTCTGCATTTGATCACCGTTGTGAATCATTTGTCTAATAATCTAAAGGCAGGATGGATAGACTTGTTTTCAAAACGCATGTTCCTGTTTCCAATGGTCAACATGCAAAAAAGAAGATTTTTTTTAAAACTTTGTTATTCTTTTAACATTTGACTTGTTATGGATTTCCTGACTAAGTGCTTTGAAACCGAATTGTGCAATGTGGCTCAAAGCTTGTCCCGAATCACCCCAGACAAACCGGGCTACCCTTCGACCGGATCCCATTATGCACAACATAAGACAATGATAGGATAAGGCTTTGGGAAGACATGTTCTCCTTGATTAGCTAATTCCATTCTCACTAACAATCTAAATCATGTTAGTACGGCCGGGGTTAGGAGCTGTGTTCACCTCGCCGCAATCTCTTACCCTTTAGAACTCCTAATTCACAGGCGCCAAGCGCCGTCACAGTGACTGTGTAGTTGCAAAATGTTGTTTTGTTTTCTTGAATTCCCAAACCACCGAATGACTGATGACTGCTAATAAATGAGTGGGCCCGTTTTTATACATCTAAATGAGCTTACAAGATCAGAAATGCCAAGATCAGAAATGCCACAGATACATTTGAGGATTTTTATCATCATCATCGTCGTCCCTGAACTCTTTCCCAGATTCAGCGAAGGAAGCGATTGAGTTTATCGTGTCATGGCTGTTGTACATCATCAAACCGTATGCGTCAGTATTCCAGCTGTGCGTGTGTGTGTGACCCGGGCATGGCTGTATTACATAAAGTGCATGGATTTGATCCAAACGGGGACTTAGTGGGAGTGTTTGGCCACTTGGGGCTCGGCAGTCACGCATCCCATCATTGTGTTCAGTAGCCTGCTGGTGAATTAAAGGCTCTGCTAATAAGTCGGGTCATTTCATCTTTAAATCATGATCCAACCTTCCCTCTCTTGCCTTCCTATACCAGGAGGACTCTGCCAGGTTCACTTCTGTGGGTTATGGTTCATTTTCTAATTAATATACCTTGTGATCTGCATGTACAATGTTCAGTTACAATGTAATTGTACAGATGACTTATCTATAGCAAGTTGTAAACCGGCTTATTTTCATGGTGTCCCGTGGTAGTGTGGTAGCCTCCACTGTCCCCGCACAGTCAGAGGGTCCCGGTTTGGGCTTCTGGGCCAGATGCCCCCCTCCCTGTGGGGTTTGCATGTTGTCAGTGTGTGAAAGCAGCATGTGATTGGCTGCAGCCCTGAAGAGACCACCACCATCCAGCAGTCTTTTCATGAAATTGCCCTTTGTTTCCTTCTCTTCGGAGTTTGTATCCCGATGGTTGAATGAACTTATTGTAAGTCGCTTTGGATAAAATGAGTCAGCTAAATGACATGTGATGTGATGTCCTCATTGGGTTGTCAGAGGTAACTTACTTTATGGCTGAATAGATCTACTTTTCTTCGGTTTAAAGTCATACTTATTTTAATGTCTAAAAGTAAATTGTTGGTACATGAATGTTAATCACCCCAACAACTGTAAAAGACAAAGACAATCAAAAACAAATGAACAACAACGAACATAATGTAGACGCACTTTATTCCTAAAACAGAAGCTGCACCATCAGTAGCGGCACACAATTATATGTACACATATACACACACAATTACCTAAATCTGTTATATAAAATATATAATCTGACAATGTACCTTTTAATTCCTCTTCAGAGCTCATTGAGTTACTGTGCGAGAGACTCTGGAGCCGAAGCAGAGAGAGAGGTAAGTCTCATCCACTCATTGGGTGGGACACAAATGCCCAGGCCAGCTTTTTCTTCATTTTTACAGCGTGGCAATAAAAAGGTCTGTACCCTTTGAAAAAATAATATTCTAAAAGCAATCTACAGCAAATTCACTTGAACAGGTTTTTTCGTGTTGTAATTGAGACAATTACACTTTTTAAAACCGATTCCTTTACAGTGAGATGTACACACCCTCTAGGATTTGTAATATATAAAAGATATTAAGCATTAAAAATTCCACATTTAAAAACTTACAATAAATAATATATGCAGGCATTTCATTGAGATAAAATTTCATAGATTGCAATCTACAGTCAATAAAAAGACAATTTATTTTCCTTTTATGAAATGTCCCTTGATCTTCCAAAATGCTAAAATGGATTCTTGGCATCTGATTGATAAATTGATTGGAAACTTGTAGTCAGTCAGTGTTGTTTGAGACACACCGCAGGGAGGAGTCTGTAAATGGGAAGGAAGCACTCTTGTGCCTCTTCCACATCTGCCCTGATGGAATCGGGGATCCGTCTGAGCAGGACATCCGAGCTCCGACTGAGCGAGCCGTCCAATCACATCCCAGCAGTTCGATCCCGTTGAAGAGTTCAGAGCATGTTCTTGATGAAGTTGTACATTTGGGTGAGCACCACAAAGTGAACGGGCAGACAGGAGCGTCGGTCCTGCGTTGCAGGGTCGCATGTGAGCCAGGAGAGGGCGTTGTACTGCTCCAGAACAAATCTGTGGGGCACAAAGCAGACGTGGGTATGAGAGATGCCGCCTCGTTCTCTCCTCTTTAACAAAACGGACTCTCATCCGAGCACCTTACCTGAGCACGTCAGAGGTGTGGTTGGAGTCCAGGGGATGGGAGTGTTTACTGTGCAAGAGCTCGTCTGATTGGACAGAAGACACGTGCAGGTGTAGTGAGGCCTGTGGAAAAAGAAAAAAGGCAGAGACCCAAATCAGATCCACGTCTTTAGAGTCATTGGTGCTTTTGAGAGATTCACACCAGATGGAATAAAGCGTTCGATATTTAACCACCAATCCTCTGGTTCCCGCTTGAAAAAGATCTAATCTACGATGAGCGGTAGATGTGGCCCTACGTGAAAGCGGACCTACCTTGAGGAAGAGCGGGCACTGGTTCTGGGCTTGAGGGCAGGCGGACCAGAACCAGTCGGGCAGTGGTCCAGCCTTGGCGGTTGAGACGAAGTAGCCCAGAGCCATCGGCTGCTGCAGGATGTTCAGAGCCTCCTCGTGGGACTCCATGCGATCGGCACTCTGTCCCTGAAAGACAACGTGGATCGAATTGAGCACCTCATCCATTCAAATAAATCCTCACATTTCTATCTGGTTTCTGGCATCACGTATTCATTTTGCTAAACATTCTTGAAACCGTGAGAGCAAGCATGATGTCATTACTAGGTTTACCACAGGTGAGCATAGTAATTATGTTTGCCTTTACCCAGGAGTAGTCATTCAAGTAAGTAATCTCCAGTTATTTGTTTTAAACTCATCATTCATCAAGAAGCAGAATTCTGCTCCACCCGAGGGTTACAGAGTCACATTAAAACTTTGCTTCATCACATTAGATGATGAAGGAATAAAGACCATATGACATTTTTGACACCAAATTCCAAAATGGATAAAGAAAAAAGGTTGAGGGTCGACTGTCTCTCGGTTCTTAATCGTTGCCACCAAGTTGGTCCATTCATTTTACGATCTGTACTATTCATGTAATGTTGGCTTTTTTCCCCATCATGGAGTTATAAAAGAAAAAGGAAAAAAAAAAGAATAAGGTTACCGACCTTGCCTCCATCCCCCCCCTGGTGGAAGTGTGAGCCAGGGGAGTGAACAGGCGAGGTGGTGGGGGAGTTGGGCAGGATGTTTATGAGGTCTGGATCAACCATGTCGTTGTCAAACAGGTCAAAGATGCCCATTCCATCCGATCCATCTGCAGGGGAAGAAAGAAACACGCAGCGTGCAGCCGCCACGGTTCAGTATCTCTCCACCAGCGAGCATTAAAACGTTAAAGCCACGCGTTTCTGTGGGTACTTGTTAGCTTGCGGACCGTACCGGGGTTTATAGGGTTGAAGTTGATGTCGATGGGCTCCGAAGTGTTGGTGTTGACCTGCACCATGGCTGAGGTGGGGAAAACCAGAATGTGTGTGCAGGATGTGTCCTGAGGAGTGCTCAGCTGCGATGTCTGCATGTTGAGGGTGGTGCTGCGACCAAACACCGAACCCGTGGAGACGGAATCTGCAGAGACAAAAGGCTGACCCGTCAGATATTCAGTGACCAGGAGCCTTTTTGCTCAATTTACGATTCTCTTGAATTCAACACGGTTTGTGTGTCCACATTCCACTCCATGCGCTTCTCGTTATTTCTATGTTACTTTCATACAACCATTTACGCATCATACAATACATAAAGCCCATAATATACTGTGTATGTATATAAAAGAATTAAATTATGAAACATTGGGAATTGAATAGCAATGGAAGTAGTGGAAAGTTTGGACACACTTTCTCATTCAATTGAGGAACACAACATGTGACCCAAAACAATGGGCGGCTGATGCAGCTGTGACCGGCGGCATATTTAATTGATGTCGGAGGCGATAACGTCTCATTTGTTGCCACAACTCCTCTCTCCTCGTGTCACGTCCTTACATCTCCCTCGGGCAGGACGAGGACACGCGGAAAGGGAGCAAGCAAAGGA